CCAGCCTCACAGGCCAATTCTATTCTATCGTAATTTCATAACCTCTTCTGTGTAGGTTACAAGCTGCCAGCCCGCCTCTTAGAACCTCTCATTTCCTTTCCATCGTGGAAATCTGTTCTTAAGGGAATCAGTTCTCAGTGTTCCATCTGCTATTCTACTACTCCTCAGGGATTGTTCAGGCCCCCTCCCTTCCCTACACATCAAGCTGCAGGATTTGCCCCTGCCCAGGACTGACAAATTGACTTTACTCACATGCCCTGAGTCAGGAAACTAAAATACCTCTTGATCTGGGTAGACACTTTTACTGCGTGGGTAGAGGCCTTTCCCACAGGGTCTGAGAAGGCCACTTTTTGTCAGACATAATTCCTTGGTTTGGCCTTCCCACCTCTATACAGTCTGATAACGGACCGGCCTTTATTAGTCAAATCATCCAAGCAGTTTCCCAGGCTCTTGGTATTCAGTGGAACCTTCATACCTCTTACCGTCCTCAATCTTCAGGAAAGGTAGAATGGATTAATGGTCTTTTAAAGACACATCTCACTAAGCTCAGGCTCCAACTTAAAAAGGACTGGACAGTACTTTTACCTCTTGCCCTTCTCAGAATTAGAGCCTGTCCTCAAGATGCTACAGGGTACAGTCCATTTGAACTTTTATATGGATGCACTTTCTTACTCGGCCGCAACCTCATCCCAGACACCAGCCCTCTAGGCGACTATCTTCCAGTCCTCCAGCAGGCTAGACAGGAAGTTTGCCAGGCTGCTAATCTTCTCTTGCCTAGTCCAGATTCCCAGCCATATGAAGACACCCTAGCTGGACGATCAATTCTTGTTAAGAATCTGAAAAATGCTCCTTCTAACAATCCCACAATATCCCCCCTTACCCCAAAATCTTTCTTCAGTTGAATCTCTCCCACTGTAGGTTCCACGCTGCCCCTAATCCCACTCGAAGCAGCCCTGAGAAACATTGCCCATCATCTCTCCATACCACCCCCAAAATTTTTCGACGCTCCAACACTTCACTATTTTGTTTTGCTTTTTTTATTAATATAAGAAGACAGGAATGTCAGGCCTCTGAGCCTATGCTAAACCATCATATCCCCTGTGACCTGCACATATACATCCAGACAGCCTGAAGCAAGTGAAGATCCACAAAAGAAGTGAAAATAGCCTTAACTGATGACATTCCACCATTGTGATTTGTTTCTGCCCCACCCTAACTGATCAAGGGTACTTTGTAATCTCCCCCACCCTTAAGAAGACTCTTTGTAATCTCTCCCACCCTTAAGAAGTTTCTTTGTAATTCTCCCCACCCTCGAGAATGCACTTTGTGAGATCTACACCCTGCCCCAAAAACATTGCTACTAACTCCACCGCCTATCCCCAAACCTATAAGAACTAATGATAATCCCACCACGCTTGCTGACTCTCTTTTCGGACTCCGCCTGCCTGCACCCAGGTGAAATAAACAGCCTTGTTGCTCACACAAAGCCTGTTTGGTTTTGTGTGACAACACAGATTTAATTATTATTTAGCTAAGTAGAGAAGGAATAGGAGCAATTCTCAGTAAGATAGGCTGAGAAAGGAAAATGATACATTTTTCAGTCATAGTAAAGGAAAGAGTTTTGGGAGTTCAGTGTTCTGATTATAACAGAATGCTAAGCCTGCTAAGTTTATAAGTTTGATTTATCTCAAAGTTCTGCTTATTTCATTCAGGCTTTGAATTTGCCTTGAATTTCTCCAGTATTTGCCTTGAATTTCAGAGATTTTTTTGGTGGACTATGCTTTTAAACATAAGATTCTAAAGTTATATTCAAATACTGCCACCTTGTGGGTTATTCTTTGTTTCCTCATTCCACCCTTTAATTTGGTGGAAACAGATTCATCCAGAAGTTCATTTCAGGTTATGTCAATTAAGTCGCTAAGAGTTGTACTAAGAGCTTCATATCTATAATATATATATTGTATCTACATAATCTCATTTAAACTTCTTAGGAACTTTATGAAAGCAATACTATTAACCCTATTTCAGAGATGAGGAAACTAGGCTTAAAGGGTTTATGTAACTTGTCTGACATCTCACAGCTAGTAAGCATAGCAGTAAAATTTCATATCCGGGCAGCTTGCCTCTTGTCTCCATTAGTAAAACTAACAAATCTAAAAATAAAACAGTATGATACATTATATGACTAAGTGATAGAAGCAGTATAAAGGGAATAATTGTTAGGAAAGGCCATCTGGAAAGGCTTCATAGATATGTGGGGAGGTGGCCCTCTATAAGTAAGGATTGGAAAGATAATGATTCTATAGGAAGAATGTAGCTGGGATCATACACCTGAATCCAGAAGAACACAAACACCCTATGTGGCCTATTGTTTTGTCTGCCGCACCCTGCTTTCTTTTGGAGAATTATTCTTCACTCTGCTTTAACCGTGACTCTAATAGAGGCTGTCAATCATGGTATCCTTGATTCCTCACCTAATCCAAGCCGACACGAGTCCATCAGGTGCCTAGAACTTTTGTGCTTGAGATAATAGGCTCAGTGCTATCTTCCCTAGTGGCAAACCTGAGGTGAGATATGTGATTTATGTAAGGTACTTAATTTATGTGCCAGAAAGTTGTAGTCAACCAGTGATGTCCTGCGGAAGATGGTGTGGAGTAGAAGAGAATGAGGCCAAACAATAAGGTTCCAGTCATCTCTAGGCCAGCTGCACTACTGATCATCCTCTAATAATCATTCTTGCAGACCGTAATCAGGTTTGAGTTTCTAATCAAATTCTAGTATTTTCTCTTCCGCCACCGGCACTGTCATTTCCCACTCCTATACAACTTGAAAGACAGCAAAATACACATAATGATGTTAGTACTTTTAATTATAAAAGATAGTACTACCAATTTATTTTGGAAAAATGGTATATGGGGAGTTTATTATAGATGCCATGTGGCTTAGAAACATTTCGGCAGTGCTCCACTCTTGAGGCCTGTGCTATTCTTTTTCTACTCCCTCCCCCCATCACTGCAATCTTTTAAAGCCATCTCTGGTTTTTTATTTTTTACTTTAAAAAATAAAACTACTTTAGAAACTCTAGTCAATTATTTTTCCAAACTTTGATTTTTTAAAATCATTCAAGTGATATTTAAATTATTGCAATAAAAATTACAAAAGTCAAAATGATAGAAATTAAGAATCACCCATAATTCCACCACAGAAAAATCATTGTAGATATATTTTGACCTATTGTTTAATGTGTAAACACAAAATTAAAAAAAAAATCAAACAAAATGGCTCATTTTGATTTCTTCCTCCCTTAACCACATCTACAATATGTTTTTCACTTAATTGTATTTCATTTTTAATATTTCCTACTTATTTTAATATTTTGTCTTGCATATAACCAGTAAGTACTTTTGAAAGCATCTAACTTTCCTGGGAAAAGGGGAGCAATTCTATATCCCTTCGCTTGGAAGGTTCTTTCTTTCCTGCTTCATCTACTTATCTCCTTGTTATCTAGTTATCTGAGTTATCTTCTACTCATTCTTTACTTCATGTGTCACATCTCTTGGAAGTCAGATTAAATCTATCACAGTATTCTTTGTAATACTTATAAATGTTGCAATTTATTATGCTTGGGAATATCTGGATCTACATGTATTTTTGTCCACTGTTGGATCCCCAATGCTTACCACAAATTGTCCGAGACCTGGTAAGTTTTACTTTTATTTATTATTATTTTTTGAGACAGGGTCTCACCCCAGTTGCCTAGGCTTGTGCAGTGGCCTGATCTTGACTCACTGCAGCCTTGATCTCCCAGGGCTCAGGGTATTCTTCCACTTCAGCTTCCTGAGTAGCTGGGCTCACAGGCGTGCACCACCATGCCTGGCTAATTTTTTTTATTTTTAGTAAAGGCAGGGTTTCACCATGTTGTCCAGGCTGGTCTTGAACTCCTGGGCTCAAGTGATCCACCAGCCTCTGCCTCCCAAAGTGGTGGTATTACAGGTGTGACTCACTTTGCTTGGCTGTCATTTTTAAATGAATGAATGCCTGCTTGGAATAATTCAGCCACTAAGGTAATACTTCATTTATTAGCACTATTTATGAAGTATTATTGTGCGCTACTAAGGCCCTCTGCTAAGTACTATATATTATCATTACATTTTCGCAACGCCAAAATAGATTATTTCTCCCATTTTGCAAATGAGGAAACTGAGGCTTCAGAAAAGTGAATTAACTTGCCCAGATACAAGAAAGAGAGAGAAAAGTTATGAACTCAGGTCAATGCGTTTATTTACACTAGCAGCTTTATTTGCCTTTATTGGCTTCTTTGTTCATGAACATGAAAGTCATTATATGTAGTTTCTTTTTTAAAAAATATCTGGAGATACAACTTAAGCTTATTTTCAAAATCACTCACTTTTTACATTACTAACTGGTTTTTGTTTTGTAGGAAGTAGGGCATTCAGAATAAAGAGCAAAGAAACAATTATGTGCTGGGAAGGGCAGCAGGAGGGCTGGGTCCTAGTCTCCCTTTCTCTTTCGCTAAGCAGCTGTGTGGCTTTGGGCTAGTAATCTACCCTTCCACAAAAAAAGCTTCAAAAGAGAGCAAGCAGAGCTCAGTGGGCATTAAGACGTGCACAACTCCTTTCTTTTAGAGATGAGATGAGGCGAACTCAATGGCTTGTAAAATTCACAACGTGGCAGAGCTGTACAGCCAACTTATGATTCCTAGTGTCGTTTGTTCTGAGTCACACTACCCCTCCTTGAACAATCATTTACTGAGTGCTTACCATATTAGGCATTCAGCAGCAGTATGTTTCCCATTCAGTACCCTAGTATTGATTATTGGCTACTGTCCCTCCTAGTTTTTTCACTCGACCACTTTCTAAATGGCCTTTAGATTCAGAGTTCAAGTGGAAAAAGCCTAGTGTAAGCCTGGTGTCAGGCACTGAGTGGCGTGACCCGGGTCGGCAGCTAGTCCCACTGTGGTGATCTAAGAGGGCAGTGACGCCTTCTGACCAAAGGAGTGACTGCCAGCTAATCCGGGTGTATAGCGATCCAGAGAGGGGTGAGGCTGGGTTTACGTAGACTACACCTTCGGCTTTGCAGTAACCCCACTGCTAAGGCCACGGGAGGAAACTCTTTTGTGCAAGACGCCTATGCACCTGGCTTCTGCTGCGTAGTGACCGGGTGTCCAAGGCATCCGGCCAGGTCTCCTCCACTCGGGTTTAGCCTCCCCTCCGAGTCTCCAGCTGCCTGGAGAGACGTTTCTAACTAGGAGATGGCTGGCCTGGAAAGCGACACTCCCATCACTGCTATTGGCCTAGAGTCCCCCGCTGCGGCCTTTCTCCCTTCCCCGCCCCTGGCCTGAGTCAGCCGCCCCAAGGCCGGCGAGGTCAAGCTCCTTTGGGGCGTCAGGGAAAAAGACCATGGCAGAGGTGCTGCCACGCGAAACCTTCTGGGCAAACACCAGCCAATCATCAAGAGACATACAGGAGCCCTAGCCAATCAGCGCCCGCCTTATTACTGAGTACCGCCCGCTCGGGCCCTTCCTCCACATCCCCCTTCACGATTCTTGTAGTCGCGGCTGTGTTGCAGCCGCCTGCTGAACTGACCCGGCTCTGGGGACCGGCCCCTCTGGCGCCGTTCGGTTTCTCTTATTGCCTTCACTGAGGATGAGTCCCTGTGTGGCTCTGTGTGGACCTTGCGGAATCCACCGGCGCAGTTTCATCTAGCGACTGGTGAGGGAGGGCTTGGCGCTGCCCGACTGTGCGGAGCGGCTTCCCTTCAGTCCGGGGGCAGGGGGAGAGTATTCGCCTTCCGGAGGGTGCGGGTGGCTGCGGACGGCTGCGCGGGGGGGACCGTAGGGAGGGGACTCTGCGGCCCTGAGGCTGCCGGGCTTCGCGCGAGGCCGCGCGGAGAGGGCCGAGTGGCCAGGGTCCCTACCGCCCCCCTTAGCTAATGAATGGCCTGTCCCGGCGATGCGCTAAGCTCCCGTCCTGCGGGACACGCCCTCCAGCGACATTGCCTTCCTAGTTGTGATAGTTGTGTAGTGTCACTTTCCTTCGAGTCTTGGATTTGAAGCCATTCCTAGGGGCGCTCATGTTCTTTATCCCCTTCCTGGAGTCACAAGTTTGAGTCCACTCTGCAGATACCGACTCTGTCGGGAAGCAGGTGGTGAACTCTGATAAGTGGACATTGACTGTTATGTAAAAAGGAACTGATTCTTTTTGGAGGGTGGTGGGGGGTGGTGAGAGAGACAGAGAAGACATGCCTTTTGTTTTTGTAACAGGCAGAGCTGTCTGGCTCAAAGAGTTTTAGTTCAGCTGCGAATTAGGTAACACAGGCCGTCCTTGACTCCTATTTTCCAACGTAGTTCATAAAACTTGGCTGTGTTAGCCAGAGATTCATGTAGCACCTTTTAACTTATGCTCGAAGTAGGCCATTTAAAATTTATCAGAAATACTGAAAGGATGTGACTTTTATGAGTAGTAGTGTTTCAATGCCCATAAAGTGGTGTAAATTCACAGACTTGCCAGCCCCCTCTTGATCATTTCGTTTTTTGTATTTTGAATTCCTTAACTTTTATTTGTTTTAGAAATTGAAGGAAGGTAGATGAGGACAGAACTGATTTCTAAAAATAATTACATTTGCAAATATTTGCAGAAACTTTTAGTCAAACCAGAGTTTACTTCAAGAAATTTTTTAGGCCGGGTGCGGTGGCTCATGCCTGTAATCCCAGCTACTCGGGAGGCTGAAGCGAGAATTGCTGGAACCCGGGAGGTGGAGGTTGCAGTGAGTGGAGATGGTGCCACTGCACTCCATCCTGGGCGACAGAGTGTGGCTCTGTCCCCCCCCCCCCAAAAAAAAAGATGCCTGTAATGCCAGCAGTCTGGGAGGCCAAGGCGGGCAGATCACTTGAGGTCACGAGTTCGAGGCCAACATGGTGAAACCCCGTCTCCACCAAAAATACAAAAAAATTAGCCGGGCATGGTAGTGTGTGCCTGTAATCCCAGCTACTTGGGAGGCCGAGGCAGAATCGCTTGAATCTTAAGCTTCGGAGTCTCCAGCTGCCCTACCAAACTGCTTTTGAATTCAATTATTTTGAATTGAATTCCATGGTACTTTTTTCTACTACATTATACTACTATCATTAAAAGTTTTCTAACTGCCTTTTGGGAGAGCAGTTTGGTAGCCTAGGATAGGTAGGATCAAGAGCACTTTTCTGTTGATATTATTTTAGGTAGGCTTTTAAAATTTTCATGTGAATTTCCTCATCAGAGAATGAAAGTGATCACATTTACAAGGGCAATAATAAGGCTGAAATAAGGATTATATTTATGTAGAGCACTATGTATAATGTATAAAACAAAATTTCACCTATAATTTTTGTGTTTGTTCTGTTGTTTAGTTTTGTTTTGCTTTACTGACTTCCAAAGTATTGACCCCTTACTCTTCTTTCTAGTTTCCCTATCTGTTATCCAAGCAAGAAACCTGAGAATTACTACCACATCTTGTCTTTGGATTGCCTGCCCCCCCCCTCTTTTTTTTTTTTTTTTTTAATCTCGAAGGGCACATAAGGCTGTCCAAAATCTGGTCTATCCTTGTGTGTTGTTAGGCCTCACTTCTGTCTTCTGAATTATTTAGAAATTTTGGAATGGACCAAGATGATTCTAGTTCTTTTATATTTACTATCCCTCTGCTTCAAATGTGCTCTCACCCAGAATTTATCAGGCCATCGCATATGGTACTCTTTTTTTTTTTTTTTCCCCCCCAGAGAGAGTCTCGCTCAGTTGCTTAGGCTGGAGTGCAGTTGCATGATCTTGGTTCTCTGCTGGCTTGACTGACCAATTTTAAGTGATCCTCCCACCTCAGCCTCCAGAGTAGCAGGGACTACAGGGACGTGCCACCACGCCTAATTTTTGTATTTTTTTTGTAGAGACGGGTTTCACCATGTTGCCCAAGCTGATTTCAAAGTACTGGGCTCAAGTAATTTGCCTGCCTCAGCCTCCCAAAGTGTTGGGACTACAGGCATGAGCCACTGTGCCTGGCTGGTACTCATCTTTTAAGTCTTAGTTTATACATAGTTTATGTATCTCCTGTAGAAAGTCTTCCCTGGACCCCTCTTCTGCACTCCTCATTTCTGTGTGTCACTTGTTTTATCTTGACCATAGGTTTATAATCATGATATGTTTTAGTTACTTGCCTAAATAAAATTACTCTCTTGAGAGCTTGTTTGGAGGTTCTAGCAAGGGAGTGCAGCTACTCGTATACCCTTGACTGAAGACTGGCCCTCCTCTAGCGGGGATGGTCGTCCTCTTCGACCGTATAAAATTACTCTCTTATACCAAACTGTGACCCTTTGATAATAGGAACTGTGTAATAGATCATAAGTTTTGTTCAGTTAGTACATATGTTTAACTAGCTATGCATCCACCTGAGTATTATCCATGAACCTGTATTTTATTTTATCTAAAATATTTAGGTCCTAATTATTTTCGTATTCCCAATGCCTTGTGACCTACTGTGGATGTGCTGAAGAAGACAGTGTAGTGTAGCAGAAATAGCATGGACCTCATCATTAAACAGATCCGTATTTGAAGTCTGACTCCCTCTTTTCCTGGTGGTATGATTTAGGTGGTTTACTTGACTGGTCTGATGTAAAGCATTCTGTATGTATTAGGTGTTTAAATGCTTATTTCCTTTGCTTTCTTCTCCCTTCAATAAGCAGTTTTTGAATGCATAGATAAGAAGTACAATAGACATTGGAAATATGGGCCTGGAATTTAGGACAAATATGTGAGCAAGAGACAGATTTGGGGATTTATAATCATGTGTATAGTAGAGTTAAAAGCATGAAAAGGATTGAAACTATCAGGGAGAATATGAAGTAGAGGACTGATGATCATTTGAGAGAAGCCAGTGTTTGAAGGCCAGGGGAAGCGATAATGCCTTGGGAAGAAGTGGTTAAGAGAGAGAGAGAGACCATGCTTAAATGCTTCTGTGACTTCCTGCCCTTCCAGTATCTCTTTTAGACTCCTTAAGGGAAAGAGGTTTTAAAGACATAAAAGCAGGGAAAGCAAGTAAGATAAGAATTGAAAATATCCAAAAGTGTTTGGTAATTTGGAGGTCATTAGTAACTTTAGCAATAATGGTTTCTTTGGAGAAGCGGTAACAGTGATAATGAAGCTCAAACATGAATTTTGGAATTAAAATTTATTACCTTTTTGTGACTGAAGAAACAATAGTAATGAAAACTCTCATTTGTTGAATGCATATTTAGTGCCAGGTACCATGTTAGGTACTTTCATTTATCATTATAGTAACCCTGTGAAATTGGTGAATTGTCTCTATTTTCAGATGAAGGAACAACTTGGAGAGATTATGTAATTTTTTGGTTATATAACTGATAACAGCTGACATTGCTATATTTGAATCTATATATGTAAAACTCTAAGAAATCCTAGCTCTTAATCGTTTCCATGTTTATGTTCATAGTATTCTGTAGTTGCTGCTTTCTCTGTATGATAGTATGAAATAACTTTTTAACATTCTTGTTTTCCCTTTTAAATGTTTAAATTATATATACTAATGAATTAAGCAATTCTTTTCTGTTGCATCTTAATTCTTTAATGTAAGGTTTGAGGGATTCACCAATAAGTAGTTCCTTCCAGGTATTATGCATACACTGAAAATACAAAGATGGTGGGATTTTAGAGCTTTAAAAGAGTGAAGTTAACTGGATGAACTGTTTTGTCACATGCAATAAATAGTCACTACTTATTCAAGGACACATTCTAAAACCCCTAGTGGATGCCTGAAACTGCAGAGAGTACTGAACCCTCTATATGCTATGTTTTTACAATTTGATAACCAAGAGAGCTACTCAGTGACTATCGAGTTGGTAGCATGTACAGTATGGCAATGCTGGACAAATGGATGATTCATGTCTCAGGCGAGGTGGAGTGGTTTGGAGTGGGACACTATGAGACTTCATCATACTGCTCAGAATGTTATGCAATTTAAATCATAAATTATTTATTTCCAAAGTTTTCATTTAATATTTTTGGACTGTGGTTGATTGTGGGTAATAGAAATTGTAGAAAGCAAATAGATAATGGGGAACTACAGTATCATGCTTTCCATTTTTAACCTTTTAAACTACTTGAGGATTGGTACCTTTTTTTCCTCTTTGCTACCAAATACTTTTATGTTTGTTTGTGTTTTTTTTGAGATAGAAGTCTTGCTCTGTCACCCAGGCTGGAGTGCAGTGGTGTGATCTTGGCTCACTGCAAGCTCTGCCTCCTGAGTTCACATCATCCTCCTGCCTCAGCCTCCCGAGTAGCTGGGACTACAGGTGCCCGCCACCATGCCCGGCTAATTTTTTTTTTTTTTTTTTTTTGTATTTTTAGTAGAGACGGGGTTTCACCGTGTTAGCCAGGATGGTCTCGATCTTCTGACCTCGTGATCCACCCGCCTCGGCCTCCCAAAGTGCTAGGATTACAGGCGTGAGCCCCTGCACCTGGCTCATTTTTTTTTATTAAGGGGTCCATTTGAGACAGAGGCTTGCTTTGTCCCCAGGCTGGAGTGCAGTGGTGGGATCTCGGCTCACTGCAGTTTCCACCTCCTTGGTTCAAGCGTTTCTCCTGCCTCAGCCTCCCAAGTAGCTGGGATTACAGGCGTGCGCCACCATGCCCAGATAATTTTCGTATTTTTAGTAGAGACAGGGTTTCACCATGTTGGCCAGGATTGTCTTGATCTCTTGCCCACCCTGGCCTCCCAAAGTGCTGGGATTACAGGCGTAAGCCACCGTGCCTGACCTCAAAACACATTTTTATTTGGTTCTGTTATTTTGTTGTTGTTCAAATCAACATTTTAAGGGGGGGATGATTTTTATGAGGACTATATCAAATTACACAATGTATAGGTTAGTAGAAACAGATCTGGAGCTATTAAGTTGGTGCAAAAGTCATTGGGGGTTTTGCCATTAAAAATAATTGCCATTACTTTTAGAGGGTTGGTTGTTGTGTTGGTGGTGGTGATATAGTTTTAGGGGGTATAGGTTTGGCATCAGACTCTTAAATGTAATTGCCATTAATTTTTTTTTTTTTTTGATACGGAGTTTTGCTCTTGTTGCCCAGGTTAGAGTGCAATGGTGCGATCTTGGTTCACCACAAACTCTGCCTCCCGGGTTCAAGTGATTCTCCTGCCTCAGCCTCCTGAGTAGCTGGGATTACAGGCATGTGCCATCACGCCTGGCTAATTTTGTATTTTTAGTAGAGACAGGGTTTCTCCATGTTGGTCAGGCTGGTCTCAAACTCCCGACCTCAGGTGATCTGCCCACCTCCGCCTCCCAAAGTGCTGGGATTACAAGCATGAGCCACTGCGCCTGGCCATTGCCGTTATTTTTAATAGCAAAACCAGCACCTACTTTTCACCAACCTAATAGACAGGATTATAATCATCTAGTTCAATGTTTTCATTTCCAGGTGGCGAAATCAAAGTAGTTTAAGATCAGAAAGCTAGTTAGATCTCAGATTTCTGACTCTTGGTGTGGTATGAAGTGGGAGTGGGAAAATACAGATTTAGAATATTTCATACTTCTCTCTAATACGTAGAAGCTTTCCCTGTACATATAGTAAACTCATGTATGTCCTTCTGAATAGTCTTCTTATAGCTGATTTTCTCTGCTCCCAAAGACTATACATTAAGGAAGATCTAAAAAGACCATATACATTGAGGGAAAATTTTCTCCTTTTGTTTTTAAAATTTTTTATGTAATTTTTAAACTATTAAATTAATCTTTTATGACTTTTGGATTTCAGATCCTACTTAAAAAGGTGTTTTGTACTCTGTGATTATAAAAAAAGAACCTTCTGTGTTTTCATCCAGTGCTTTCGTAGTTTGGTTTTTTTGTTTGCCTTTGAACCATCTAAAATTTATATTGGTATAAGATATAAAGTAAGTACAGTATCTAAAGTTGTTTTTTTAAAGATAGCTATCCAGTTGTTTGAATACCTTTAATTATCATCTCTTCTTATGATGAAGGATCTTTCAGGCAGAAGTAACAATGTTAACACTGTGCCTGGGTACTTAGTAAAAACGGAATAACTGATGAGAGTGTTGGTTATTGTTGTGTTGGTGGTGGTGATACAGTTTTAGGGGGTATAGGTTTGGGATGGGATTCTTAGAAAGATGGTAGATTTAAGCATATTCAAAGCTTGTGGGGACATAACTAGTAGAGTGTAAAAATACAGCATAGAAGGAATGAAGGACTGGAAGGAAAGAGAGAAACTCTAGAGTACAACCAATATAGGTTAACTTTAAACATGAGAGTGGAAAAATGGAGTAAGGATGACTGATATAAATATAGGTACCATAAATATGAAAGGTCGATAGATTTAAGAAAAAAATGAATTAGCCCGTTTATGCCAGAGGTTGCAAATTTTTTTTTGTGAAAAATGAGACCTTGGCGATGACCTTGAGCATTAGGATATAAATAACTCCCGCAACCTTAGTGTTCCAGTAATGGAACACTAAGCATAAATGGGTTAAGGGTATCTAAATATGGAGGTAGTTGTGTTCTAAAGTACTCAAGGAGAGTGAGAGACAGATTTTGAATTTTTATTTTCTCTTTTCTCCTTCTCTTATAGGTCACCCTTGCAATTATGGATATTTAAAAGGATCAGACAGTGTGGAGGGGGAGTTCCCCTCCTCACTCCCCCTTGGTGCTTGACTCCAGAATAATTTATAAACTGTGGAATTTTTTTAAATGAAGAACTTGTATTTGATATGAACTTTATAGAGCTATTTATAATTTTTTTGATTTAAGTGCCAAAAAGTTGTATAAAGATATATAGTTTTATACTATTGTCATGAGGATTTAAATTATCCTAAAAAGGTCATTTATTCTCAGTAACTCTTCCTCAATAGCACCTTTGTGTCCTGGCTTTTTCATTTTTTAAAATTAGTTTTCACGATTCTGAAGTAAGCGGTATAAAAACAATTAGGATGAATTCACCCATGCCTGACTGCACATCAAAGTGTCGATCCCTGAAGCATGCTTTGGATGTTCTTTCTGTGGTAACAAAGGGGAGCGAAAACCAGATTAAGGCCTTTCTCTCCAGTCATTGTTACAATGCTGCAACTATCAAGGATGTTTTTGGTCGGAATGCTCTCCACCTTGTTTCCTCCTGTGGAAAGAAAGGAGTGTTAGATTGGCTTATTCAGAAAGGAGTGGATCTGTTGGTGAAAGACAAAGAGTCTGGATGGACAGCATTGCACAGAAGCATTTTTTATGGACATATTGATTGTGTTTGGTCTCTCTTGAAGGTAAGTGTCATTTGTTTGTTTTAAACATATTTAGTCTGGAATATGTTTTTCTCATTTTCATACCTCCTACATGCTTTTTGGAAAAGATTTGCCTTTTTTCTTACTTGTTTGCTATCTCTTACTACTGTAACTGATCTTTGGAATTAAAACTCCATATATCCTTTTACTTAACTTTTTTATGATGTAAAATTTTAAACATTTATCAAAGCTTACTATATATAATAAACTGTTGACCAATTTTATGTTATTTGTACATCTCATATCATTTTGAACTAAATTCTATACATCATTTGATGAGTATTATACATTATTAAAGCAAATGCTTTACATTAAATAAGCAAAATTTATTTGAGCAAAGAATGATTTATGAGTCAGGCAGCGTTCAGAACGAGAAGAGGCTCAGAGAGCTGTGCTGCAGCCTGAGCAGTGAGCTTTTATAGGCCGATGAAGAAGAAAGACAAAGAAAATATATTTAATTGGTTAGATTGGAAAGACCTTAGTTAGAGGTTAGTTGGTGGTTTCTGATTAGTAAAGACTCTAGTTTCATTTTACTGTTTACTGGTTTTCTGTTTACTTACAGATGAACTTAAAGTGCTAGAGCTGCCCCAGTCTAATGGCATCCCATTTTATATTTTCGTAACAATATGTTTTAGTATTTTAAAATGGTTTATTCTTAAATAACTATATTATTAACTTTAAAAGGGCACTAGTTGTTGAACATTATTTAGGAATTGTGTTTTTCAGTAGTATGTTTCATTTCTTGTTTAATTAGCATACGGTGTTTGTAAGTTCTAAAGAAACTGATGAGGCCAGGTGTGGTGGCTCATGCTGTAATCCTAGCACTTTGGGAGGCTGAGGTGGGTCGATCACTTGAGGTTATGAGTTCGAGACAAGCCTGGCCAACATAATAAAACCCTATCTCTACTAAAAATACAAAAATTAGCCAGGTGTAGTGGCGTGTGCTTGTAGTCTTAGCTACTTGGGAGGCTGAGGCATGAGAATCGGTTGAGCCCAGGAGGCAGAGGTTACCGTTTGCCAAGATTGTGTCACTGCACTCCAGCCTAGGCGACAGAGTGAGACTGTCTCAAAAAGAGAAATTGATAGCCAGGCGAGGTGACTCACACCTGTAATCCTAGCACTCTGGGAGGCCAAGGTGGGTGGATCACCTGAGGTCAAAAGTTCAAGACCATCCTGGCCAACATGGTGAAGCCCTGTCTCTTCTAAAAATACAAACATTATTAGCTGGGTGTGGTGGCACATGCCTGTAATCCTAGCTACTTGGGAGGCTGAGGCAGGAGAATCACTTGAACCTGGGAGGTGGCGGTTGTTTTGAGCTGAGATCGCACCACCGCACTTCAGCTTGGGCATCAGAGCAAAACCCCGTCTCAAAAAAAAAAAAAAAAAATTGCTTAATTTATTTAAAATTTTCTTTATAGTAGATTAGGTGTGTTGTACTGACTAGGCAAATAATAAAGTATTTTGAAATACACTCCAGTGTCATTTCACTAATGAATGCAAATTAGAAACTCACTGTAAGAAGTCATAAGTTTTAAATTTAACAATTTTTTTTTTTTGAGACGGAATCCCGCTTTGTCACCCAGGCTGGAGTGCAGTGGTATGATCTCAGCTCACTGCAACCTCCACCTCTCAGGTTCAAGTGATTCTCTTGCCCGAGCCTTCCCAGCACCTGGGATTACAGGCACGTGCCACCATGTCCACCTTATTTTTGTATTTTTAGTAGAGACGGGGTTTCCCCATGTTGGCCAGGCTGGTCTTGAACTCCTGATCTCAAGTGATTCACGTGCCTCGGCCTCCCAAAGTGCAGGGATTACAGGCGTGAGCTACCGTGTCCGGTCTTAAATTTAACAATTTTTTTGTATAGGGATTTTGTCATGTTTGCGGAGGACCTGGAAAAGAAAAAAACATTTCTGGGCCTTAAGGAACTTCTGGTCAAATTCAGAAGCTTATTTTCAGTGTCTTCATTTAATTTTGACTTAAAAAATATTTCTATAGTGGCTTTTATGTAGTAACATTTACTGATCAGAATAATTTTTAATTATATACTAATAGTAAAATATTCTTTTTTGGAGTTAAACTCCCTACTGATCTACTACTACTACTGCTGCTACTACTTCTTACTGAATCATCGTGGACATGTTATTAAATCTTGAACTTCAGTTTTGTCTATAAAAAGAGAATAATAATAGCCCTTTCCTTATTTTTTTTTCCCCCAGGGACTATCCATGAAGAAAAGCGTTTTTAAGTTTGTTAATGGTAGAGCTGATTCCTCTTATATCTGAAACCTTGGGGTATCTGTTTAATTTCCGTATTGTCATTATAGGGAAACCTAGGTTAGTAAGAGTTAAAGCATCTGTCAGCTCCATTCTTACCCTTTTCCAACTGTAAAACCTTGGGTTTTTTTTTCAGTTTCTGCTGGAAAGTTGGATGACTGCCAACCCTGTTGAGCTTGAGAAGGTTCTTGGGTTTGGTTTCCTGCCATCCTAAGGGTTGCCATTTAGGTGTTAGCATTTAGGGCTACAGTTTGAAGTAGTTATAGTATGTACTGAATTTTGGTCCTTTCCTCCCTGTGGGATTTTATTGCCCCATTGAAATCCTCAATCACTCTAACCACCTTGGCTAATAGAAGCCAGGAAATTGTGCCTTTGCCACCTTGCCCTTAGCTTGACTGTCTTATTGGCGTCAGAGCACTGCTGATCAGTGATAGATATGTAACAGTGGATGATTCCACTGATGGTTTTCCCCTAAATCCTGTATTGACCCTTCAGCATTCTCATGTTGGTAGGCTGTCTGCTTTTGTTCAGCATATTTTTTTCCTTTGACCTTCCAACACTTCTTTAATTGGAAGGGGTGCAGTGATAGGTGTCTTCATGTCAGTTCCATCTCTGATGCCAACTGTAGCACTTCAGGTATTATGGATTATCAGGAAGAAACCACACACATTTTAAGTGAATTTGCATTTGATAAAACTTTACAGCTATAACATTTCTAAATTGCACAGTAAATTGTCATTTTCTTATTGCCAAAGATATAAAACCTTAGCAGAAACTTGTTGCCTACAAAAAGCTGGAATGGAGACAGATTATCTCATGCAGGTTTTTTGGGGCTTCTTGATTCCATGACAGGATGCATGGCTGGTAAAGACTGTTGATGCTTGTGGAGTTCTGCTGTATCTGTTGTTGCTAAACCGTTGCTCTTTTATACTGGTGCTTTACTTACTATGCTGGAAGAACTTGCTTTAATGTTTCCCATTGGTAAATAGAAGACTTAACAGAATCATAGGTTATATGTATTAAATAATATACCGTCTGTGAGGTATTTGCAAGAAATATTTTTTGAGTGCCTGATATGTGCCAGGCAGTAATCCAGGTGCTAGGGATATTGCAGTGAACAAGACAGAATCCCTTCTTTAAGTTTTTATTCTACTAGGGGGAGATAAACCAAAACCAAGCAATTAAATTAATGAACAATGGCCGGGCACAGTGGCTCACACCTGTAATTCCAGCACTTTTAGAGGCCAAGGCGGGCAGATCACCTGAGGTCAGGAGTTTGAGACCAGCCTGGGCAACATGGCAAAACCTCATCTCTACTAAAAATAATAAAAGTAGCTGGGCGTGGTGGCACATACCTGTAATCCCAGCTACTGGGAAGGCTGAGGCAGGAGAATTGCTTGAACCCAGGAGATGGAGGTTGCAGTGAGCCGAGATCACACCACTGCACTTCAGCCTGGGCAACAGAACTAGACTCTGTCTCAAAAACAAAAAACAAAAAAAATTAATGAACAAATAGGAAAATGCTTGATAAATATTGATGTATTCAAATTATTTTTGCATGCAATTGGAACCAAATATGGTAACATAAACAAAAGATATTGAAGGGATATCAGATACCTCATAGAATAAACAGGTCATAAAGAATTAACTGTCAAATAATAAATAACAAAAAACTCCTCAAACTAAAATAGAGTAAGTATAAGCTAAATATAATAAACTGATTTGAAATTTTATGTCTCTCCTTCCCCAGATAGTTTTTTTTTTGTTTTTTTGAGATGAAGTTTTGCTCTTGTTGCCCACGCTGGAGTGCAGTGGTGCGATCTAGGCTCACTGCAACCTCTGTGTCCTGGGTTCAAGTGATTCTCATGCCTCAGCCTCCCAAGTAGCTGGGATTATAGGCATGCACCACCACACTTGGCTAATTTTTGTATTTTTACTAGAGATGGGGTTTCACCATGTTGGCCAGGCTGATGTTGAACTCCTGATCTCAGACAATCCGCCCACCTCCCGAAGTGCTGGGGTTATAGTCATGAGCTACCGCGCCCGGGAGAGTATGGCTCCTCCTCAAACACACAAAGAGTTAAATGTTTATGTTCACATGTACTCCCACACAGACACAAACCCAGAGCTAGGGACTTGTAGGGACAATGCATTTATGGGGTATTAAAGGGGTATCAGACCTGCTTTACCATCAAAAATGTTCACATGGCCGGGAGCGGTGGCTCACACCTGTAATCCCAGCACTTTAGGAGGCTGAGGCGGGCTGATCACGAGGTCAGGAGTTTGAGGCCAGCCTGGCCAACATGGTAAAACCCCATCTCTACTAAAAATACAAAATTTAGCTGGGCGTGGTGGCGGGCACCTGTAATCCCAGCTACTTGGGAGGCTGAGTCAGAAGAATCGTTTGAACCCGGGAGGTGGAGGTTGCAGTGAGCTGAGATCGTGCCATTGCAATCCAGCCTGGGTGACAAGGCGGGACTCCGTCGCAAAAAAAAAAAAGTTCACTTGTAGTTAATTTTTATTTAAAGTGTTAATTTTGTATTTCTTCACATGTTCTGGTCCTTCCTTATTCCAGCAAGAGTTGGATATGTGATTTTTCTTAATCTCTGCAGTATGTGAGAGAAAAATGTGTGTGAATATGAGAGATAATTGTTATTAAATTTTTTTTTCAGTGTATTTATGGGATTGATTATCTGACTTTTTGGTATATAAGAATAGGAAGATGGCCAGGCGTGGTGGCTCACACCTGTAATCCCAGCACTCTGGGAGGCCAAGGCAGGTGGATCACCTGAGGTCAGAAGGTTGAGACCATCCTGACCAACATGGAGAAACCCCGTCTCTACTAAAAATACAAAATTAGATGGGCATGGTGGCGGATGCCTGTAATCCCAGCTACTTGGGAGGCTGAGGCAGGAGAATCACTTGAACCTGGGAGGTGGAGGTTGCAGTGAGCCAAGATCGTGCCATTGCACACTCCAGCCTGGGCAACAAGAGCGAAACTCTTTCTCAAAAAAAAAAAAAAAAAAAAAAAAAAAAATAGAAAGTTACTGATTATAGGTAATTGATTATGTATATATATTTATGTATTTTTTTGTTTGTTTGTTTTAGCATGGTGTTAGTCTGTATATTCAAGATAAAGAAGGCTTGTCAGCTTTGGATCTTGTAATGAAGGATAGACCAAGTCATGTAGTATTCAAGAATACTGGTAAGAAAATTTCACAAATGGGTTGGGCGCTGTGGCTCACACCTGTAATCCTGGCAATTTGGTAGGCTGAGGTAGGCGGATCACTTGAGGTCAGGAGTTCGAGAATACTGGTAAGAAAATTTCACAAATGGGCTGGGCGCTGTGGCTCACACCTGTAATCCCAGTAATTTGGTAGGCTGAGGCAGGCGGCTCACTTGAGGTCAGAAGTTCGAGCCTGACCAACATGGTACAGCCCCGTCTCTACTAAAAATACAAAAATTAGCCGGGCATGGTGGCAGGTAATCCAAGCTACTTGAGAGGCTGAGAAGCAGGAAGAATCGCTTGAACCAGTGAGTTGAGATCTCGCCACTGCTCTCCAGCCTGGGTGATAGAGCTAGACTTCGTCTCACAAAAAAAAAAAAAAAATTCACAAATGTATTCCATTAAGGTGCAGCTTAGCTTAGAAAATTTTAATGAAATTTTATTCTTAAAGTAGTCGGGAAGTTTATTTGTGTGTGGTTATCTGCAAAGAAATTTTACTTTGATATATGTTGGATGTTCTTTGTTTGATATTCAGAACACTTATTTTGCATTTTAAAATTTGAATCCATATTTATGTCTATAAAAGTACAATCTAAAATGGGAGGACTGTTATAATTGTAACTACTGTAAAGTAATTGATATATATTCAGAAAGTAACATCAGCATTGAGGTAGAAGGAAAAAGGAATGGAAATTGTTCTTCCTTTTGTTGTTGTTAAGATAGGGTCTCTGGAAATTATCATTATTTTTGTGGTTGTTGTTGAGATAGGGTCTCGCTTTGTCAGTCAGGCTGGAGTGCAGTGGCATAAACACGGCTCATTGCAGCTTCAGCCTTCTGAGCTTAAGCGATCCTCTCACTTCAGCCCTCCAAGTAGCTGGGAATACAGACCCATGCCACCATGCTCAGTTAATTTTTTTTTTTTTGGAGATAGAGTTTCACTCTTGTTGCACAGGCTGGAGTGCAATGATGCGATCTTGGCTTGCTGCAACCTCTGCCTCCCGGGTTCAAGCTGAGAGATTCTCTTCTCTCAGCCTCCCGAGTAGCTGGGATTACAGGCATGCACCACCACACCCGGCTAATTTTGTATTTTTAGTAGAGATGCAGTTTCTTCATGTTGGTCAGGTAGGTCTCGAACTCCTGACCTCAGGTGATCCGCCTGCCTTGGCCTCCCAAAGTGCTGGGATTACAGGCATGAGCCACTGCATGCAGCCAATGTTTATATTTTTTTTTTATAGAGATGAAGTTTTGCCATGTTGACTGGGGTGACCTGGAACTCCTGGACTCAAGTGATCCTCCTGCCTCGGCCTCTCAAAGTGCTGGGATTACAGGTGTAAGCCACCGTGCCCAGCCCCAATTATTCTTTTATTTGCACATTCTCAGATTTACTTATCCCTCCAGTTTGTTTGCACTTTTAGATTTGGAAGTGGGAATTGGCAGAAAAGAAAAGATTTAACTGGGACAGTGTATAGTTTGCATTTAACTAGTGAGCAAGCTGAGTAAGGACACATTCTGTATTTTCATTTCTACCCTGGATACTGTGTTGCAGGTAACAGTGATAATTCCATTCTAGGACTTTATTTGTCTTCTAAAATAAAAATGAAGATTTATATCATGAACTTAGCTGTGATTTCTGTTCCAGTTTAATGGGCTTTACCCTAATCACTAATTTGATTTTGTGTCTATGAAAAACAAAGTATTGAAAATTAGTGTTCCTATACAAACAATAAAACCACATTTGCGACATTTAGAACCTTTGTCTGCTTGGATTAATAATATCTTACATTTGATATAGTTCTATATATTATTTTCATGGAAACTAAGCAGATATGACCGGTGGTATTTTACTCATTTGGCAGTTAAACTTTAGCTGCTAAAGAAACAAGGAACAGCCTGGGCAGAGTGGCTCATGCCTGTAATCCTAGCACTTTGGGGGGCCGAGGTGGAAGGATCACTTGAGCCCGGGAAGTGAAGACCAGCCTGGGCAACATAGTCAGACCTTGTCTCAATTGTTTAAAAAAAAAGAAAAGAAGCAAGGAACAAATGTTTGATTGCTTGCATTGAGATAGGCCTGTACTATGATTTGGATTTTCTATTTCTAGAATTACCTAATATCATATTAATAGATTCCTTCACAAAAGAGTGTTGGCATCTTTCAAATATTGTAGTTAAATTAGTTCTTATATTTGTTTTAAAATATAAAAAAGTATAAAAAACTGATTTTTATTTTAGATCCTACAGATGTTTATACTTGGGGCGATAATACAAATTTTACCCTGGGTCATGGAAGCCAGAATAGCAAACATCATCCAGAGTTGGTGGATCTGTTCTCCAGGAGTGGGATTTATATCAAGCAGGTATTTTGAAGTACAATCTGCATACTTTTAGAGATAAGAAAGAACTTTTGTATTTGATTGTTCAGCTTTTCATGTGAATTACGTAACTTGTTTAAGGTATGGTAACATTTTAATGATGTAATCAATCAATAGAACTTTACTAATTTTATTTTAGATATTGTTAGCCTTAACTATATTTAGACTTTGTAAAATACCCTAAAATATAAGATGTTTGTGCAATTAGTGTTAGAAATTAGAAAATGTTATACAGATAGTAGTTTAAGAGGGTAGAGCTGCTCTTGATTTTCTAGCTTTTCTATTTAACGACCATTAGAATTCTGTAAGCTGTTTCTCAAGTGAATTTGTTGTTGAAGCTCAGTGTTATTTTTGATAAATGAACAACAGTTCTTTTTTTTTTTTGGTGGCATTAAAACAAAATAATTTCAATTTAGAAAACAACACACTTCTTTCATTTTTCTGTAACAAAATAATGTTTTTAGGTTCCAAGCTATTTATCATGAAGAGAATATGTTTAATCTGATGTGAAGTTGGATGACAGCAGTCTGGAAAGGCTATAGAGTTTTTTAACTGACAGTCTGGTAAACTGCCAGTCATTCTGTTTATTTATATTCTCACTGACAAGCAATAAATAATTAAATGTCTAAGTCTCAGTTCTCAGATTGGATAGTAGATAGTAGAACTAAAATTTCATCACTTGCAGAGACAGATAAGCAATGTTTTGGAAGTGTGGAGTTCAAAAATTTGCCCTCAGGTGCTGTAGGCACGAGGGATGCTTTTTGTGAACCTGAGTTTTTAAATGTAAGTAATTGTAAAACTTTAATAGATACAATTGTAAAGATTTGGTCTGTGGCCTTACATCCTTATAATGCATGATATCTTCTGCTTCCCTAGATACAGCTACTGTTGACAAATCTTTCTATATAACATTGTGTATACTTGTGTATGTATGTGTATCTCTAGCCCCAGTCTTTCTCTTGAACTTTATTTGTCGTACTGTGGGTATTCTTTCAAGATATTTAAATTGAGAATGTCTGAAGTGTTATTTTTGCCACTCCTAAACTACACTATTCAATTTTTAATGCTATAAATCTCAATTTATAAATCCTGAAGATGATACCTCAGAGCATGTCTATTTAGTTCTTCTCTGTCTCATGAACCTAAGTGCCATGTCCTTTTCAAGGTCTTTTTTTGGACAGTGACAACAGTGTCCTAATTTGACTCTTTGGCTCCATTCATTTCCAACCCCGATAATATTCTTCTCCAGAATTATTTGTCTTAAAAAAGAGGTAATTATGTCTTTATAGCTAAATCACCTTTGGATAAAGTCCAAACTCTGTGACTTGAAATGTAAGAACTTTTTCAGTCTTCCTAAATTACCGTTTCAGCTTATATTTCCTACAACTTCCTAGTTATATTCTTTCTGCATTTTGAAGTTCATAAAACTTCTTTGATCCAGAATATAAGCTTGGAGTGTTTTTATCACTATAGTACTGGCTCTTTCTAACTTTCACCTATTATTCATATATGACATATATAACAACACTTAGCTTATATCCTGAGATTGAATTCTTAGACAGTTTTTAGAGCTATTTGACAACATATCCCTAGTTTGCCCAGGACAGTTCTGATTTATGATTATTTTCCTAGTATAATTGTTAGTATCCTCCTTCATTCTCAAAAATGTTTGCATGATAAACTATATGACCACTATATTTAGGGTTCCATGGAGCACTGTTTTTTAAACTAAAATTTGCAACCTAATGTATCACAACCACCAATTGAACAAAAAAAGCAATAGAATCCTTAAACTCTAGAGAATATTAAATTTTGAGAGAACAGGAATAAAAGCCCATATAGGAATGAAAAGTGGCTAGAGAAGTAGGGAGTAGAATGGTATCATGAAAGCTAATATTCTGGTGGGTCATCTACATAGACCTGGAAGGAACTTAAGATAATGAAAGGACTTGTAATGGGCAAGAATCAAGCTTGATGTCCAAGTCTTTAGTGAATGTGAGGGGGGTGAGCAAGATGGTGAGAAATCAGAGCAGGGGCAGCAAGTATACAAGCTGCTCACACCTAGTTTAGAGCTTTTTGCAGACATGCTAATCAAAAAATTTTTTTAATGCTGAGCTTGAGCGGGTCCTCAGACTCCTCCTTAAAATGGTAATCCAACCATTAGCAGCCACTAATGATTGATTGGAATTGTGGCACAAGCAAGACACTTGTTTTTCCTTTTCTGAGGCAGTACGTGATATACCTTTATTTCATGAACTGTTACGGAGCGGGATTTTAAAGACAAAAGTGAAGGAATCATGATGGCATTAGGAAACCAGAGGGTGATTGAAATGTCTGATTCTAAGAAATATGTAGTTTGGAATATTTGAGTATATTCCATTTGCGAGGGTTGTGAGTGAACTAGTGTACTCAAAGCCACATTTCAGGTAAGGCAAGGCAATGGGTGTATTTTGTGAAGGTATTAAGGATCTAAGGGATTTTATTTACCACACAATGAGGGTGAAGCAAGCATAGTGGATAGGTTTGAGAGGAAAGAAATCAGTGTAAATTTCAGTCAGGGAAGAGAAAGCAAGTATGGGAATATTAACTGAGTACCAGTTATATAGAGAGCCCCATTAGTTATTGAAAAGGGGCTGATTCTGTATTATGCAGTACCAAATGAATTAACTACTATGAGATAGAGATTATTAATGTTAGTATTATATATTCCAGATAATTAAAGTGAAAATCCATGCTCAGTTCTCATTTAAAAATTCAGGGGTTTTAGACCGGGCGCATTAGTTCACATCTGTAATCCCAGCACTTTGGGAGGCCGAGGTGTGCAGATCACAAGGTCAGGAGATCGAGGTTATCCTGGTAATACAGTGAAACCCCATCTGTATCAAAAATACAGAAAATTAGCCAGACGTGGTGGCGGGCGCCTGTAGTCCCAGCTACTCGAGAGGCTGAGGCGGGAGAATGGCGCGAACCCGGAAGGCGGAGATCGCAGTGAGCCGAGATCGCGCCACTGTACTCCAGCCTGGGTGACAGAGTGAGACTCTGTCTCAAAAAAAAAAAAAAAAAGAAAAAAAAAAATTCTGGGATTTTAAAGTTAGATGACTTAAAACTGTCTAGTATTGTAACTGTTGTTTAGTAGTAGAAGCCAGCAATTGTAGGATGACATCCTAATATTGAATATAAAATTGAATGAAATGTATTCTTTCTCATTTCATAAAATGAATTTCATTGACAAATTGTAAATTTAAAATACAAATTTGGATTTTATTTTTAAACTTTTTAGGTATTTGTGGTACAGCTAAATCAGATAATAATCTTTGCATTACTTTTTTTTTTTTTTTTTTTTGCGCTAGCTATATTGTGCTTACAAAATTCCGAGTGGTCTAGGATATGTGTAAATATTTAGAGCTTGTTTAGCTTATAATTTTTTTGTTTTCCAAATCACCTTGACTTTCTGGAAATGACTTTAGGGTTTCTTTATTTCTTACTCATCTTTTTATATCCTAAGTTAGAAATATTTGCAGATGTTGTAAGAAATATGAATGCAAACAATTTTCAAAAATGAGAAGATTTAAAAAATATTATTAAGGTAAAGCGAGTATAATGAATATCAGAGCTTGGAAAATAGCAAAATGTGACCCGGGGTTAGATATGTAAATATATATATATTTAAAACTGCTGATCGTTTCCTGTATTGTGTTCTGCTGAAGCAGTTCGACTGTTTCAGTATCTTTGTCTTCTGTAGTATGTGAATGGTAAGTCTGTGTATCAGGGGCAAGGGAGGGTACTGAGATTGAGGCAGATAAGGAAAAAGGAAGTGGGAAAGGAAAGAGAAAAACTTGAAAATAAATATAAAATTATTTATTAAAATAATTATAAATGTATAATATTAAAGATGTGTTGATAAAACTAGAGATAAGGTAAAGGACATAGTGCCCCCCACACCATGTATAAATGGCATTATTGTTTTTTAAAAACACTCTGAAGGTGTTTCTGTTATTTTTATTAATACCATATATTACCAAATACCATAATACTATTTGGTAATCTTTATGCTTCCTGTTGCACTCTGCTCATTTCTTTCTATTTGATATTTCATGAAATTGGAAAACAATTGGCTACTAATTTTTGGAATTGAAGATTTAAAATTATATTTTCCTTTGGGTAATCTCTTCTGTGGGTAACATGCTTAATTCTTTCTTTGTTCTGTTTTTTCATGTCAATGTTTTCAGACATAATTTTAAAACAAAGCATATATATCTTTTATTTTTATTACAGAAAACTTAAAATGTGGAAATTTAAGTCTTATGAATTCCCCTTGTATCCATTATCCTGTTTAAATAATTAAAAATATTCTATTTCTTTTTCATAAAATATATTTTATTCAGAGAAGTTTACTAATATTCTCTTGTTTTCCCTTAGGTGGTGCTTTGTAAATTTCACTCCGTGTTTCTCTCTCAGAAAGGGCAGGTTTATACCTGTGGTCATGGTCCTGGAGGGCGATTAGGACATGGAGATGAACAGACATGCTTGGTAATTGAAATGTCATTACACTGTTTAGGTAACTTTAGAAAAGTGCTGATAAGCTGAAAGAAACAGTTAACTAAGTTTGTTTTTTCAACTGTAAGGACGAAATAATACACCAATTGATAATAGATTTAAAAAAATCTGTTTCCTGGTATATCACGTTCAAATTAAGGGTTTACATACAATGCAAAAGGATTAAAAAAGTAATGCTTTAGTTATAGCAAATACCGAGTCAGGAGTGTATATAAGCTTTAAAATGTTTCTACAGTTGAAATAAAAGAAGGCAGACTAGGCCGGGCACAGTGGCTCATGCCTGTAATCCCAATACTTTGGGAGGCCGAGGCAGGCGGATCACCTGAGGTCGGGAGTTAGAGGCCAGCCTGACCAACATGGAGAACCCCTGTCTCTATTACAAATACAAAATTAGCTGGACGTGGTGGCACATGCCTGTAATCCCAGCTACTCGGGAGGCTGAGGCAGGAGAATTGCTTGAACCTGGGAGGCGGAGGTTGTGGTAAGCTGAGATTCCACCATTGCACTTTAGCCTGGGCAACAAGAGCTAAACTCCATCTCAAAACAAACAAACAACAACAACAACAAAAAGAAGGCATACTAATTGTAAAACACTTTTCCTGAAGTAGTTCTGGTTTTTGTTTTTAACTTCTCATTAAGATTTCTGTGGTCTAAAAACTGAGCCAGTATTTTCATTATATAGTCACAAAATTGATATTTATGCTGCTGAAACTTAGTGCTAATTAGAAGAGACCTAGTACATTACGTATCAGAAAATTGGTTCACTAGGTTATTTTAATATTTTTTTTTATGTGGGGACTTCTGGTATACTTATCTATTAAATGGTGCTTTAAAAAAGGGGAAAGCTATAATGATAATAGCTTCCATTTTTGAGGGTTTATTTTGTTCTAAGTATTGTTTGTGCTTTTCATATATAATTATTACCTAAGCCTCACAACAGCCCTGTGAGGCACAAGTATTCTCTTCATTTTATGCATGATGATGATACTAGTAATAGCAATCATTTATTGACTGATTACTGTTTTCAGATGAAGAAAATGAGGTACAGAGAGGTTAAGACATTTGGTTGAGATCAAATAGGTAGTGACAGAAGTAAGATTTGAACTCAGGACATTTAAATGACTCCAAAGGAATATGATACTATATGTTTGGTTACTCCCTGAAGGGAAGCATTGATTCTGTATTTTTGTTTTTTTCAATGTACCAGTGTATACTTTGATGAGTTCCCTTTATTCATACCAAACAAATTTGCACTTGGTATATGGTAAAGGTTCAAAAATCATTTGTTGAATTGAATTATTTCACTGAAATGTCTTACTGGGCTTTTGTATTTTGCTGATAAACTTACAACCATATTCTTTTTTTTTTTTTTTTTGAGGCGGAGTGTAGCTCTGTCGCCCAGGCTGGAGTGCAGTGGCCGGATCTCAGCTCACTGCAAGCTCCGCCTCCCGGGTTCACGCCATTCTCCGGCCTCAGCCTCCCGAGTAGCTGGGACTACAGGTGCCCGCCACCTTGCTCGGCTAGTTTTTTGTATTTTTTAGTAGAGACGGGGTTTCACCGTGTTAACCAGGATGGTCTCGATCTCTTGACCTCGTGATCCGCCCGTCTCGGCCTCCCAAAGTGCTGGGATTACAGGCTTGAGCCACCGCGCCCGGCCCAACCATATTCTTTTAACTCATCTACCCTTTGCTGAAATGTAGAATTTACCTATGATAGATACAGCCATGTATCAGTCATGTCATTTCATGTCATTTTAGATGTAGCATCATCAAATTCTACTTGCATATCTGTATAAATGGTTAATGTAGTGTACTAAAGTTCATTTTATTTTGTAGGTCCCTCGGCTTGTGGAAGGACTGAATGGTCATAGTTGTTCCCAAGTGGCAGCTGCTGAGGATCATACTGTTGTGTTAACTGAAGATGGATGTGTTTATACATTTGGTCTAAACATTTTTCATCAATTGGGAATTATTCCTCCACCTTCCAGTTGTAATGTACCCAGACAGGTAAGCTTTACTCCTTTAAATAATAAGCTTTTACATTTGCAATAAAACCTATATGGACAAAGATATGTAGGTTATTGACAGAGCAACTTATTTTATTTCTGTTATTTAGCTTTATCTTCAGTGGTATATATTGTCTTTATTATTTATTATTATTATTATTATTTTGTTTGAGACAGAGTCTTGCTCTGTTGCCCGGGTAGGAGTATAGTGGCACGATCTTGGCTGACTGCAACCTCTGCCCCTCGGGTTCAAGTGATTGTCTTGCCTCAGCCTTCTGAGTAGCTGGGATTACAGGCACACACCACCGTGCCTGGCTAATTTTTATTTAATTTTTTTGTATTTTTAGTAGAGACAGGGTTTTGTCATGTTGACCAGGCTAGTCTCAAACTCCTGACCTCAGGTGATCTGCCCGCCTCAGCCTCCCAAAATGCTGGGATTACAGGCGTGAGCCACCGCACCCAGCCTGTTGTCTTTATTTTTAACGGAAGAAATTAAACATAGTACATATTAGCATTTGTTTGGAGGAAGAAAGAAAGCACTTGGGAAATTCTGCATTTGGGAGATTAGCCACCAAACTGCATCTTTTAAGTATTTATAAGAAAGGGAGGTCCAGATATTTTGGGTCTGAAACTTAAACACTTTCAGGCCCTCCTTAAGAAAAAATATGAAATTTATCAATACCAAATGGGTTCATGCAAGTGAGGAACCCAGAGACTTAAGTTTTATTTGCTTCATTAAATCTGCCTCTGCATAGATATCACATGTGACAAGTTGATGTTAGGAGACATGGGTTCAAAAACCAGTATTCTTTATTCTACTGTTTTACTCTCATGTGCACAGCCATCTCCCGAAAGTGCACAGTAGTGCACAGGACAATCTCACGACAAAAAAATCATCTAGCCCCAAATGTCAATAATGCCACTGTTGAGAGACCGTGGAAATATCTAATTTAAAAGTACTGTTTTCTATTAAGAATGAGACTGACTGTTTTGCATATTGCTTGTTAGAAAAAGAAAAATAGCTAAAAGTTTAATAATTTGATTCTTACACCATGCCAATTTTCTGTATATTAAAACTGCTGACTGAAAGTGGCTGCGTCACAATGTTTTGTGTTCCGAGAAGGATTCAGGTCTTAGTACGAGTGCTGAGATCTATTAGTGACAACTGCCATTTGCACTTGAGGGGGCCACTAACAGCAAGTATACCATATATTTGCTGGTCTGCTGGATCTTTAAAAAATTGTAGTAGGTCATAGATACATAGTAAATTGCAGTTTTATTTGTCTTTGAATAGATACAGGCAAAATATCTGAAAGGAAGGACAATCATTGGCGTTGCAGCAGGCAGGTTTCATACAGTCCTATGGACTAGAGAAGCTGTTTACACTATGGGACTAAATGGTGGACAACTGGGTAAGAAATCCTTGATGACAATATCTGGAAATTAAATTGGACTCTTTAATAAATTATCTTTTCTTTTTAATTTTTATTGATTAGAATGGGATTATGAGTGACTTTTTTTGTTTGTTTGAGACAAAGTCTCACTCTGTCATCCCAGCTGGAGTTCAGGGTGCGATCACGGCTCACTGAAGCCTTGGCCTCCTGGGCTCAAACTATCCTCCCATCTCAGCCTCCCAAGTAGCTGGGACCACAGGCCCTTACCACCATGCTGGGCTATTTTTTTGTAGAGATGGGGTTTCACCATGTTGCACAGGCTGGTCTCGAGCTCCCGGGCTCAAGCGATCTGCCTACCTTGGCCTCCCAAAGTGCTGAGATTATAGTCATGAGACACTGTGCTTGGCCAAATAGCTTAAAAGAGCTATTTTGTGATTTGCTTATTTGTATCATTTTTTAGGTTGTTTGCTAGATCCCAATGGAGAAAAGTGTGTAACTGCTCCTCGTCAGGTCTCTGCCCTTCACCATAAAGACATTGCTCTGTCTTTGGTTGCTGCAAGTGATGGAGCTACAGTCTGTGTTACCACAAGGGGAGATATTTACTTACTTGCAGACTATCAGTGTAAGAAGATGGCTTCTAAGTATGTGTATTTCTGTGAAAGAAACATAACTTTAATAATAATTCAACTCTTCCAGCAAATATCTGAGTGTCAGCTTTAGGCTATGTTCTATAAATGTCAAATGGAAAATATTGAATGAGGAGAAACATCAGGAATTTTTGTCTTTCATTTTTGTCTTTTGGCATGGATCTAGTAAATATATATAAAATTTCTGTGTAAGTTGTAAAGTGGTATTTCTGAATTATGTTTAATATGTAGTTAAATATGAGATATATGTTTTTTCTTTTTTTATGCTTTCAGTGCACAGACATATATTAATCTTAATTCTTGATTTGTGACACTCTTATCATTGGTTTCTCTATAGCCTTTTTTACATTATACGTGTATTTGTCTTTAAAATATAATCTTATGTCATGAGCCCTCTAACCAGACTCAGTGTTTATAACTGATAAGTATATATATATTTAAAAAATGTTATAATAGAATGCAGTAAAGTAGCAGTTGGTTGACAAGTCAAAGCAGAGAATCATGAAGTGTTTTTTTTTCTTTTTAATTGAGACAGGTTCTCGCTGTGTGGCCCAGGCTAGTCTTGAACTCCTGGGTTCAAGCGTCCCTCCGGCCTTAGCATCCCAAAGTGCTGGGATTATAGGTGCAAGCCACTGCTTCCAGCCTTATAAAGTTTTAAGTATGGGTGGGTGCACCAACTGGAATTCCCTGTCTTTTCATATAAACCATACTCATAATGTGTCACCTGTCATTTCATTTTGAATGATTTAAGGAACCAGTGCTTAAAAACAATTGTGAAGTAATGTAAGTGCAGAATTCTACATTTTTAATACATTTTGAATCTTTTATAATTGATAATTTATCGACAGTTTTTTGCTGCACATATTTATTGTGTCATTCCAAAGTATTCAACTTTTATAGACAGGTTTCAGACTAATATTTTACCATTTATATAGTGTTTTACTATGAGAAATTCATTATAAATATATACATTATTAGTTTAAATAAATACAAGTACTGAAATAGGTCTTCGTGCAAATATAAATGATTCTTGGAAGTGGATAGCTCAACTAGTGGAAGCAGTTGTGTACAGGATTTCTAGAGAATAGCTGTCTAACTTTTAAAACAATTAGGGATTTAAATTTAAATGCAACAAAATGCTTTTGACAATGTAAAACAGATACCATCCATGAAGGTACTCATGAACAGAAAATGTCTATCAGTTTGTAAAAACTTACCTTCTTTGTATAACAGTTCCTTTTTTTTTTTTTTTTTTTGAGACATTGTCTTGCTCTGTTGACCAGGCTGGAGTATAGTGACACGATCTCCGCTCACTGTAACCTCCACCTCTCAAGTTCAAGCGATTCTCCTGCCTCAGCCTCCCAATTAGCTGGGATTACAGGCACCTGCTGCCATGCCCAGCAAATTTTTTTGTATTTTTAGTAGAGATGGGGTTTCGCCATTTTGGCCAGGTTGGTCTCGAACTCCTGACCTTACATGATTCGTCCACCTTGGCCTCCCAAAATGCTGAGATTACAGGTGTGAGCCACTGTACCTGGCAGGAAGTTACTTTTGACTTCAATTTTAGGTTATATTTTAGTTATATAAACATGAAAATGTGAATATGTTTCTTAAAACTGACTAAATAGATTTTTTCCTGAGTTTGAGGTGATATGTAAGATATTAAGTTGTATTTTTAGTTAACATTTATAAAACTTGCCTATATAACATTAAATCACGTAAATATGTTATATCCAAGTTTACGTTAAGTAAATTATTTTGTTGCAGATTAAGTTATACAATATAGTAATTTTGAAAGTTTTTTTTCCTTTAAAAGGGAGAACAGTCATTGGAGTAGCAGCAGGCAGAGTTCATATATTGCTCTGCACATCAAATGTGAAGATGTAATGAAATGTGTAGCTAATGAATGAGTTATTGAATAGCAGTACAGATGATTTTCATGGTAGCCATATCTGTTTAGGATTAGCCATTTTTGAAATTAAGCATTTCCATTTTGAGGTTTAAAATTTGTCTTTTCTGTTAAAATACAGATGCACTTAGGAGCTTATAGCTATACTAGTTATTTGTTTATTATTTATTAATTTTTTAAGACGGAGTCTCTCTCTGTCACCCAGGCTGGAGTGCACTGGTGTGATCTCTGCTCACTGCAACCTCTGCCTCCCTGGTTCAAGTGATTCTTCTGCCTCAGCCTCCCGAGTAGCTGGGACTACAGGCGCGCATCACCATGCCCGGCTGATTTTTGTGTCTTAGTAGAGCTCGAGTTTCACCATGTTGGCCAGACTGGTCTCGAACTTCTGGCCTCAAATGATCCACTGGCCTTGGCCTGCCAGAGTGCTGGGGTTATAGGCGCGAGTCACTGCACCCAACCCATACCAGTTATTTAAACTCCAGAGTGAATGTTTGAATTAGCAAGTGGAACTTCAGGTGTTTAATGTGTGTGTTTGTGTGGGTAAAGGCATTTGAGGGAAAAAGACTTGCCATAGAAAGGAACAGCCACCTTGTAGGGGAAATTTACAGAATGGAAGACTAGAGATACCAAAGACCAAATCATTTTACTTCACCTTTCACAATAATTGCCTGTAGATTGTTTGAATAGTAACTTCTTTGAAGTTTAGGCATGTGTATTTTAGAGAACATATTAATCTAGAATTTTTTTTTTTTAATCTAGACAATTGAACTTGAAGAAAGTTCTTGTGTCTGGGGGTCATATGGAATACAAGGTTGATCCTGAACATTTGAAAGAAAATGGGGGTCAAATTTGCATTCTTGCAATGGATGGGGCTGGAAGGGTAAGTATATATTATGTAAAAGTATAATCTTACTCTCGGTTGATAGCTGTGGCAGACCTGGTAACATGAAAATGTATTGCTATGTTAGTGACGATTCCTGTTGACTTTGATGATTACTGCTGGGTGCCAAAATAAGTATATTTGAGGCATCCATTACTAATTAGTATGGAGCTGGGATTTAGAGATAGTATGACAGACAACATTTAATCTAATGTTGCACAATACTGATTTGTTAAACTGTAATCAAAAAATTTATTTATTGTGCTTAAAATGAAAGATTTTGATGTTATTTACACTGAATACTGATAAATGATACTGAATTGCATAAATATGAGATATGTAATGTAACTATAAATTTTTTTTTTTTTTTTTTTTGAGACAGTCTTGCTCTATTGGCCAGGCTAGATTGCAGTGTCATGATCTCGGCTCGTTGCAACCTCCACCTCCTGGGTTCAGGCGATCCTCATGTCTCAGCCTCCTGAGTAGCAGGGATTACAAGCATGTGCCACCACGCCTTGCTAGTTTTTGTATTTTTAGTAGAGACGGGGTTTTGCCATGTTGGCCAGGCTGGTCTCAAACTCCTGGCCTCAAGTGATCTGCCCTCCCCGGCCCCACAGATTACTGGGATTACAGGTGTGAGCCACTGTGCCTGGCCTCACATAACTATTCTTAAAAAAGCAAAGATCAGGCAATATGATACATTAGTTGCATAGTTGGAAATTTTTTTCCAGATTTAATTTTATACAAATGTATGCATTATAATATGTGTATACATTATAACTATCCACATTATATATGAAAGATTTTCGGATCACTAGTGTGTAAGGAATTTCTTCTCTCTTAAATGAAAAGTTCTAATTTTAGTTCCTTATGCAAACATATCAGTACATTTCTCTAATAAATTTATTAATTTGAAATATTAAAAAAATTTTCTGAAATATATGCTTTAATTGATGTATTTATATACTATATAAAATACATCTCTAAATTTTTTTTGAAGGGTGGGAGAGTGGGAGCCATCTTTAAATAATACAGATTTTAAAAATTATATTTAAAAGTATATATTATACACTAATGATACTGAAAAACATACAGCGTGGGTAGAAAAACACAGATAACTTTCTGGTTTTACTTATAAAATTAAAATAATGTTTTCCGAGGTTTATAATGTGCTGTAAAGTTTGACATTTTAGAAATTGAGGAATTAATCATAAAACTCCACCTACTGGGTCGTTATAGGCATACATTGTAGGGATGGAGAATGAAGATGATTTTAATAGTAGGAACTGGGTTTAAATATTAGAGCTCTACATCAGGAAGAATAGCTGTTGGATGGTGGGCGTAACACTTGGGTGATGTGATGCTCTGTGCAGCAAACCACCATGGCACACGTTTACCTATGTAACAAACCTGCACATCCTGCTCATGTACCCCTGAACTTAAAAGTTGAAGAAAAAAAGGAATTAGAGCTTCAATTTGTACTAGTGGAAGGAAACAAATGGGGTTACGTAAAATAGTTGAGTATAAAAACTTATATTTGATTTTGGGATGTGTATCACTTACATTAAAATGGATATAGCTTATACTTCTGGGTGTTTACTTCCTGCAAACTAGAGTCTCACTAAGAAAACCAAGCTCTAAAAGCATCAGTCTCAATCAGTATAGTCTTTTTGTGTGAATAACTTTTTAGTGACCTTGTCAGATAACCATTTTGTGTTCTAGTTTTCTTAACTTGATTATGAGGGAATTGAACTTTTAAAAATTAGCACTTCTAATTTTTCAAATGAAATTGTGCTTGGAGTACCAGTATATGAAACAGATAAAACAATTGCTGCTGTGGATTGGGAAGCCTGATACCCCATCTCTCATCATTCTCCATCCCTTAGCAAGTTCCCTGGAGCTACTTTTCAGGGACTCTGAGGTTTGCAGAACCATTTACAACCATTGAATTCTGTAATGATTTTTCTAAGATTTTGTTTTAGTTATATAATTGAGTTATGCATACATTTACTTTTTTCTTGAGAGTAAAGTTTGGATTTTCATAGGGGGATCATTCTTCTTCTAAAGAGATAGTACTACAGGAAGCCTGACTTGTAAGTTGTAGCTTTAAGATTTTGTTTTTCTTTAGCATTATAGCAGATCAGTTTGCCCCAAACAAGTAATACTGGAAATTGCTACTTCTTAAGAGGAGTGCCTTTGAAATAATTTCTAATGCTTCAGGCTTGCTTAATATACTTTTCTGAAAGATATTTCTTTAAAATCATCTTGATTTTTATTATAGTATTTGTCTTTTCTGTGGAAGAATGAACATTGAAACATACTAATGAGAGCTTTTATTTTAACAGCATTGTCTCTTGGTATCTTGATTTAAGGTTTTGGTTGTTCAAATACTACTTGCTTTATATTTCAATATGATTTGGTTTTGTTTTAGGTGTTTTGCTGGAGATCAGTCAACAGTTCTATGAAGCAGTGTCGATGGGCCTATCCACGTCAGGTCTTCATTTCTGATGTTGCTTTAAATAAAAATGAAATTCTGTTTGTTACGCAAGATGGAGAAGGATTTAGAGGGAGATGGTTTGAAGAAAAAAGAAAGAGTTCTGAAAAGAAAGGTCAGTTCATATATGCGAACGATACGTAAAAGTACCTTTCAATTGTCCTTTAATTTAACAAGTATTAGGTTCAACTGATAAGTATTATTAGGTTTTACCTTTATGTATTTATCTTTGTGATTAGTTTTTTTAATGCCTGTTTCCAATTATAGTGTAAGGTTAGTGATGGCAAGGGCCATGAATATTCTTCTATATCCTTAGCCTTTGGCATATTTCCTGGCACATTGTAGTCACTCATTAAATCACCTGTTGTATGAATAACTCAGTTATTGTGTGCCAAAACCAAATCAAGAATGTTTATAATTACTCAGAAAATTATAAATGTGTTCTTCAAAATCATAAAGCCGCAGAGAAATGACTTTCGTAAAGTTTAATGATTTAGTTGTATTTCTTTTATTTCTTTATAGATTATTCAAGTCTGTAAACATTTAATATATATTACTATGTGCCAGATATAGGGGAAAATTTTAAAGATGCAAAAATATATAAAATGGGCCTCTATTCTGAGGCACTCATAGGCTTGTAGGGGCAATAGACATGTATATAAATACTTGCAGTTCACTGAGACTAATGTTAATATCCACATAGTAGGTTTCTTGAGAGCATAGAAATTGGAATGACTGAGTGTCAGAGGAAGATTAGTAAAGCCCCATATGACTAAAATGAATTAATTTGTGAGAGTAACTAGAACATAGGTTCAACGTATGGAAGTGTTTAGAAGTGTGTCAGACATATTTAGTGATCTGAAACTGAATTCATGATCTCATGCTCCAACTTCTGCTTCTCAGTGTTTTCTATTTCAGTAAATTATTATCTTTGACACTCAGATTTCCCTTACGCTAGAATTAATCAGTCATCAAGTTTTGTTCTCTTTCTCAGATGTTTCTTATATCTTTCCACTTTTTTACAGATTCATTGCTACAACCTAGTCTATATCATCTTTTAATTCTTTTCCTGGATTTACAGTAATTCCTTAAATGGTCTCTTTATATCTATTCTTTGTTTACCTTAAACATTCTTCACACTACAGCCAGAATCATTTCATTCATGTAAATTTCATATCTTTGTGGAAGCACTGTATCCTTTGCCTTCATAACCTTGATTTTACTTGCAATGATATAATAATTTGTGTAATGTCTATCTTCCCTGCTAGATTGTGTACTCTATGAGAGCAGGAACATGTCTGTCTTCTTCACTACTATATCACCAGACTGATGATACCACAGTAGCCCTGTTTGGTCACTCACATATTTTCTGAATACATGCAAGAAAGGGGGAAGAGAAAGGCAGGAAGCAAATAAACAAGCAGATTATGAAGACACTAGATTTATATATTTTTAATCCAAGTTAGAGAATTTTTTTCCCTTTGGGCAACAGCAAGTTTAAGTTGAAGAATTTTAAAAGCTAGTATGACACTAGATTTGCTTTTTAGAAGGGTAACTTCAGTTGCAGTATGGAGGATGTGTTTGTTGAAAGAGATGGAATCATGGATATTTTAGAATCGATCCACCAAAAATTTCCTTTATAATACAACCAATATATTCAGTGCAAAATGTGTTGAAGAGAGGATGTAGTTCTTCAAAAACACTGAATATATATGAAAAAGATTTCCATAGTTTTCTAACTGCTTTTCTATTCCATTTACTTCTCAATCATTTTAGTGGTTTCGGTAAAGCCTTGATTAATGGTAGTTTTTTTTTTTTAACAGAGATTTTATCAAACCTTCACAATTCCTCATCAGATGTGTCTTATGTCTCTGATATAAATAGTGTGTATGAAAGAATTCGACTTGAGAAACTTACCTTTGCACATAGAGCTGTTAGTGTCAGCACAGATCCAAGTGGATGCAACTTTGCAATCCTGCAGTCAGATCCTAAAACAAGGTATACTTGTATATATTAAATTTCACTTTTTAGAAGGAACAATCACTGAATTTTCTTGTTTTCAGTAGCTCCTGGTGCAAATTTAATTGAAGAGCTGTTGCCAAGACCTATAGAGACCTTAGACATAAACATGTTTATAGGGTAATCCAGAGGTAGAATTTGTTATCCTCAAAGTGATGAATATTTCCTTTAGTTTGTAAACTGACATTTATTGAAAATATTGAAAATATCTATACATGCACTCGCAAAGTTTATTTTTTTATTTTTCATTTTTTTTAAGATGGAGTCTTGCTCTGTTGCCCAGGCTAGAATGCAGTGGCACAATCTTGGCTCACTCTAACCTCTACCTCTCAGATTGAAGTGATTCTCCTGCCTCAGTCTCCCAAGTAGTTGGGATTACAGGTGCCTGCCACCAAACCCAACTAATTTTTGTATTTTTATTTTTTATTTTATTTTATTATTTTTTTTTTTTTGAGGCAGAGTCTCGCTCTGTCGTCCAGGCTGGAGTGCAGTGGCCAGATCTCGGCTCACTGCAAGCTCCGCCTCCCGGGTTTACGCCATTCTCCTGCCTCAGCCTCCCGAGTAGCTGGGACTACAGGCGCCCGCCACCGCGCCCAGCTAGTTTTTTGTATTTTTAGTAGAGACGGGGTTTCACTGTGTTAGCCAGGATGGTCTCGATCTCCTGACCTCGTGATCCGCCCGTCTCGGCCTCCCAAAGTGCTGGGATTACAGGCTTGAGCCACCGCGATAGAGATGGGGTTTCGCCATGTTGACCAGGCTGGTCTTGACCACCTGACCTCAGGTGATCCGCCAGCCTCGGCCTCCCAAAGTGCTAGGATTACAAGTATGAGCCACCGCACCCCACCTGACTTGTCTTTCATACTTTATGATGTACCCTAGGTTCTCAGATTCTGAAAAAAGTATTATAAATATTTCTTAGGCAGTTTGCAAAAATTTCTCACCCTTGAATATGATGAAAATTGGCAAAAGAAGTGTTGTGGCGCCGTCTGTAAATCCCAGTGCAAATCTCCTAAGTCACATTAGCAGAGAGGTATCAGGTTAAGATAAATATCAAGGGTACTGTTGAAGAGGGAGGAAATTCTGCAAGTAGGGTGATCATCCATCCTGGTTTGCCCAGGCCTGCCCCAGTTTTAGCGTTGAAAGTCTCATCTGAGAAATTTGTCAATCCAAAGCAAACCACAGGAGGGTTGGTCTTCCTACTGAGAAGGGTGAAATGTTGGTTGGGACAGTGTAATTGCATTCCCATAGTACTGTAAGAACCAGGGATATGGACAACTTAGTTCTTACCATTTTAATTTGAGAGAAGAATAGAATATAAATATAAAAAGGAATAGAAAACAAATTAAAGGATGATATAGTATCTAGGGCTTTGTGCAATATTCCTGTATTTTAGGAAATGCCAAATTTAAAATTTTCTAAATACTGTTTAAAAAATTGCATTTTAAAGGAAAATTGGCTAGATATGGAAAAGGATTTCCTTCATTTTTTTTTGAAGCATAATTTGTTTTTATCTTGTTTCTAGCCTTTATGAAATTCCAGCTGTGTCCTCATCATCCTTTTTTGAAGAGTTTGGCAAACTGTTGAGGGAAACAGATGAAATGGACAGCATTCATGATGTGACATTTCAAGTTGGCAATAGACTCTTCCCTGCACACAAATATATTTTGGCAGTGCGTTCTGATTTTTTTCAGAAATTGTTTCTTTCAGATGGCAGTACTTCAGAATTTACAGATATTTACCGGAAAGATGAAGATTCTGCAGGGTGCCATCTCTTTGTGGTAGAGAAGGTTCATCCTGACATGTTTGAATACCTTTTACAATTTATATACACAGATACTTGTGACTTTTTGACTCATGGCTTCAAACCAAGAATACACTTAAACAAAAACCCAGAAGAGTATCAGGGAACTCTGAATTCTCATTTGAATGAAGTGAATTTCCATGAAGATGATAACCAGAAGTCTGCATTTGAAGTTTACAAAAGTAATCAAGCTCAAGCAGTTAGTGAAAGGCAGATGAGCAAACCTAAATCTTGTAAAAAAGGAAAAAATATTAGGGGAGATGATCCTGTAAGAATGTTGCAAACTGTTGCAAAGAAATTTGGCTTCAGTAATTTGAGTAGTAGGTATGATTTCTCCTTTATATCTGTTCCTGTACGTCATTCAGTCCTCCTTTAAAAAATTTCCCACCCTTTTTTCCTTGCTTTTCTTTTCTTTCCCCTCCCGCAGTCACCTCTCACTTGTTCCATCCCCTTCTCTTCTCTTTTCTCTCCTTTTCCTCTCTCTCCCTTTCTCCCTACCCTTCCTTTTTTGGGGGAGGTACATGGATGTGTCTTTCCTACATTTGCTGGCAGAGCTATCTCTGGGACTTCTTGGATTACATTAATGGATGGGAAAGCTGTTGTTGGGTTTGAACTCTGGTTTGGTTGGATTACATTAATGTATGGGAAAGCTATTGGTGGGTTTGAATTCTGGTTTGTGTATGTAACAGGGATCTGGAGTGGCAGGCAGTGTGGTATGCTGGAAAGGTCTTTCAAGTTAGACATACATGTCTCTTAGCTTTGTTATTCCTGGCTGGGAAAATTTTCTTTCTTTTACCTCAGTTTCTCAATATAAGAAATGGGAAAGATAATATTTATCTCATATTGTTGGTATGGTTTTGTCGTATTTAAATTGCCTAATACCATAGTATCATATTATGAATCAGATTATTTGAAATTCTCTCTCTTTTTAAGGTATTTATGTTGCTTGTGGCAGTTAAACCTTAGTTGTAGGGTGGGAACAGAGGTGGGGGCTGTATCATGTTTTCTGTTTAGAAGTAATGAAGGGGCTGGGCGCGGTGGCTCACACCTGTAATCCCAGCACTTTGGGAGGCTGAGGTGGGCAGATCACCTGAGGTCAGGAGTTTGACACCAGCCTGGCTGACATGGCAAAACCCTGTCTCTACAAAAAATTACAAAAATTAGCCCCGCATGGTGGTAAATGCCTGTTGTCCCACTTACTGGGGAGTCTGAGGGAGGAGATTCACGTGAACCTGGGAGGTGGTGGTTGCAGTGAGCTGAGATCACACCACCGCACTCCAGCCTGGGTGACACAGCGAGACTTCATCTCAAAAAAAAGAAAAACTTTGTGCTATGGCTTTGATTGTCTTTTGTCAGTAATATTTAATCTATTTTGAATTCTAACTAAAATAGAAGAAAAAGTATGATACTTCTTTATCTCAGAGTAGGGGTTTGTTGAGATACTTTAGGATATAGTATTATATTTAGGTGTAAGCTAATTTGTTGGATTTTTTGTTGTATGTTTATTTTTGTAAGGGAATTATATATATCAATTGTTAATTTTTATCTTTCCTTGATAGGTTAGATGGAGTCAGATTTGAAAATGAAAAAATTAATGTTATTGCCAAGAAAACTGGTAATAAACTGAAGCTAAGTCAGAAAAAATGGTAAGTAAGGAAAGGAAGATTAACATTTCATCTCTAAATTTTGGCACTTAAGTGTGGAAATAGATCTCTGCTTACCCACATATGAAGCAAAATGTATAGGTCGGTACCCTCTTACCTTTTCTAGTATTCTGCATTTTTGGAAATGTTGGGGAGCTGTTGAAGTAAATTGATAAAATACTAACTGCTGAAGACATCAAAGGAGTTTTTTCTTTCTGATGACTTTCTAATAGAGGAACTTTTAATTTTTATTTTTTCTTGCCTGAATTTTGTGCCTTGTTATAGTTAGGAAATATTGTGAGCCCTCAAACCAAATTAATTATATCTCTTCATCATTATGATTATTTCCTTTAATATAAAAAATGTTTAATAATAAATATACTATTCTAAATATATTGTTAAAAAGTTTTATTTTTAGGGCCTGGCGTGGTGGCTCACGCCTGTAATCTCAGCCCTTTGAGGGGGCCGAGGCGGGTGGATCACCTGAGGTCAAGAGTTTGAGACCAGCCTGATTAACGTGGTGAAACCCTCTCTCTACTAAGAAAATACAAAAATTAGCCAGGCATAGTGGCGAGTGCCTGTGATCCTGGCTACTCAGGAGGCTGAGGCAGGAAAGTCGCTTGGACTTGGGAGGCAGAGGTTGCAGTGAGCCAAGATTGCACCATTGCTCTCCAGCCTGGGTGACAGAACAAGACTCCGTCTCAAAGAAAAAAAAGTTTTGCTTTTAGCTATTCATACTTTCTGTGTAAGTGGAAAGGTTTTGGAGAAGGATAAACTGTGGAGTTGTTTCAACTGTGGTTGGCCCAGATTAGCTACTACAAATAAGTGAATTACAGAGACTTAAATATGATATCACTTAGTATTATTAACAGTTTGTCTGAAATTAGAAAAAAAGGAAAATCAGAAAAATACCTTTTGAATATTTGTATTTGACTCCCTTTTCAAATACTGTCTTTAAGGCCCTTATCTTCCCTAAGGTGGAAGAAGAGGAAGTATTTTATTGTATGTATTCCTGCAAGTTATTTATTCTCTGCCACCTTTAAGAGAAAATTGAAAGTTAAGCCAAATCCTATAATCTTTTTCATTAAATATGTAAAGAAATTGCACTTGCTTCAATTAAACATTTTCTTCCAGTTCATTTCTGTGTGACGTGACCATGAAATCAGTGGATGGAAAGGAATTTCCTTGTCATAAATGTGTTCTTTGTGCTAGACTTGGTAGGTGTACTTTTTAAAGCTACTAATTTATTTGCTCTATTATTGTTTCACTATTCTTATTGCATTGAACTTTTTTTTTTTTCCTTTTAGAATATTTTCATAGTATGCTGAGTAGCTCATGGATTGAGGTAAGATTTAAGTAAAAAGCGCCTAGGTTGGTAACTATGTTTCTTTATATTTTGTGGAAATTATGTAGTAAAGAAATTCAAAATCAGAACTCGATATTTTAGTTCAGTTCTTCATTTATATTAAACTTTATTTATGCTTGAGGCTGCTGGAAAATAGCAACTCTTAGAATTTAAAATTATTGCCAAGAAGCTACTTAAATAAAAATTTCCCTGTTATTATTTAGAAATGTACTAGGAACACCACTGTGTTACTTGTTTTCTGAATTTTTTGTTCCTTTTTCATGTTGTGTTTTAAAATTAAATTTAATATTATTTTAGCCATGTGTTTTGTAAATTTTATGTTCTTTTGCATTTGATGTGATTTCCTGTTCAGAGTGTTTTGTACCAATAACCCAAATTAGAATGTAATATTTTATTGTTTACAATGAATTATTTTACTTTATTTTGTCTTATTTTATTTAGGCTTCCAGTTGTGCAGCTCTGGAAATGCCAATACATTCTGATATATTAAAAGTTATTTTGGACTACCTCTATACTGATGAAGCTGTGGTGATAAAAGGTATTAATAAGAGTTAGGACATTGTAGATACTTCAGATATAATGGAATAATGGTAAAATCAACATGAATCTTAATTTCTAATGAACAAAAGCCATCAATAAAGGCTTAATTTATTTTATTTTTAAAATATTTAATTTATTTTTTATTATTTGTGGAGACCAGGGTCTTATTATGTTGCCCAGGCTGGTCTCAAACTCCTAGGCTCAAGGGATTATTCCACCTCAGTCTTCCAAAGTGCTAGGATTATAGTGTGAGCCACTATGCCTGGCCAATAAAGGCTTAATTTAGAATAAGCAATAGGAATGATTGCTAATAGTAAAGGAGCAGAAAAAGAAGGTTTTCAATACCCATGTGAAAATGAACTCTTTGAGAATTAGTGCTCGCTTTGGCAGCAAGTATACTAAAACTGGAATGATACAGAGATTACATGGCCCCTGTACAAGGATGACATGCAAATTTGTGAAGCATTTCATTAAAAAAAAAAAAAGAATTGTATGTAATGGTTGAAATTAGATTTAGCAGTTCAATTTCCAACTACTTTTATGATGGAGGTGAATGAATTGACAACAGGGATAGTTTTGACAAATACTTGCATAAGTTCTTTCTTACTTGTTTTTCCCCTTTGTGGTTACACATCTTGAAAGAAACAGATTAAAAATTGTACCAAAATTTATGAAGAGAGGTGATTTATATACTTTGTTAGGCAAAACACTAACTTTTAGTTACAAAGTATGTTTAGTCATTGGAGTGGTACTGGATGTTCTGTCATATTCCATTAGTTTTTTTAACCCCAGCTGTATATTGGGGATTATAAAAAAGTGAATAGACCTTTTTCTATATTCAAGAAACTCAATTTAGTGGAGAAGACAAATGTATAGAAAACAAATATAATCCAACAGAGTATTTCTCTAAAAAGCTGATGCATTTTTAAGAAGCTAGCCTCTGAGTCTGCCTAGGAAATCTGGGTAGTCTTGTAAAGGAGATAGAGTTTAACCGAGGACAAGATTTTTGAAGATTTGTATACTTAGAGTAAGATAACTGAGACATGGTATGTTTTTCTCTACTTCTTTCATTTCTTTTTAAGAATTGAGAAATTATTTGCATGATAAAACTTATACTTTTAAAGCATACAATAAGTAGTTTTTAGTATGTTTAGAAATTTGTGCAACTATCATCACTGTATAATTCTAGAACATTTTCATCACCCCAGAAAGATACCTTGTACCCATTAGCAGACACTTTCCACTCTCTCTTATCCTCAGTCCCTAGAAAACCCCTGTTATGTTTTCTGTCTCTATGGATTTGCCTATTCTGGACATTTCATATAAATATAATCAAACATCATGCGGCCTTTTGTATTTAACTCATTTTACTTAAGTACGATGTTTTAAAATTTTTTCCGTGTTGTAGCAGGTACCAACACTTCATTCTTTTTTATTGCCAAGTAATATTTATTATGTGGATATAACACATTTATTCTTCAGTTGATGGATGTTGGGGTTGTTTTACCTCTTGTCTATTAGGAATCATGCTGCTGTGAACACTCATGCCTGTTTTTCTGTGGGCCTATGTTTTCATTTCTCTTGGGCATATACCTAGAAGCGGAAATGCTGGGTCATATGTTTAATTTTTTAGGAACTGCCAGACTGCACAGTGGCTAGCTGTACCATTTAACTTTACCACTGACAGTGTGAGGGTTCCAGTTTCTCCACATCCTTGCCAACACTTACTAATATCAACTTTTTTTATTATAGCCATCCTAATGGGTGTGAAGTTATACAACATTGTGGTTTTGATTTGTATTTCACTAATGACTCATGATGTTGAACATCTTTTCATATGCTTTTTGGTCATTGGCATGTCTTCTTTGGATACATACTCATGTCCTTTGAACACTTTTTTTTCTCAGTTATTTGTTTTTTTAAGATGCTGCAAGAGTTCTTTGTATAGTCTGGATATTAGTCCCTTATGGGATATATGATTTGCGAATGTTTTCTCTCCTCTGAATTGTTTTCATTTCCTTGATAAAGTGTCCTTTAAAACACAAAAACTTTTATTTTTATTTTATTTTTGAGACAGGGTCTTATTCCGTTGGCCAAGCTGGAATGCAGTGGCATGGTCATGGCTCACTGCAGCATTGGCCTCCTGAGCTTAAGTGATCCTTCCTACCTCAGCGTCCCAAGTAACTGGGACTACAGCTGTGCACCACCATGCCTGGTTAATTTATAAACAGTTTTTGTAGAGATAGAGCCTCCCTATATTGCCCAGGCTGGTCTGGAACTCCTGGCTCAAGTGATCCTCCTGCCTCAGCTTCCCAAAGTGTTGGGATTACAGGCATTTGATGATATCCAAATTATCTATGTTGACTTGTTACTCATGTTTTTGGTGTCATATCTAGGAATTCATTGTCGAATCCAAGGTCATGATGATTACCCTATATGTTTTCTCCTAAGAGTTTTATAGTTCTGTCTCTCACATGTAGGTCTTTGGTCCATTTTGAGTTAATTTCTCCCCCTAGTCTTATTAAGGTGTAATTAACAAGTAAAAATTATGTATAGTCACAGTGTATAACATGACGCTTTGAGATATATATATATAATATCTATGTTTATATAGAGAGAGATAATTACCACAATCAAGCTAATTAGCTATCCATCACCTCACATAGTTACCTTTTTTTTGTGTGTGTGGCGAAAGTACTTGAGATCTAGTCTTTCAGCAAATCTCAAGTATGCAGTACATTAGTATCAGTGTAGTCACCATGCTGTATATAAGGTCTAGATCCTATTCATTCATCTTATAACTGTAATTTTGTACTGTTTGACCAGTATCTCACCATTACCCTAATCCCCTGTCCTCTAGTAACCACCATTCTTATTAAGTTAATTTTTGCATTTGTTGTGAGGTATGGGTCCAAGTTTATTCTTTTACATCTGTATGTCCTATTTTTTCAGTACCATTTGTTGAAAATACATTTGTTTTCCCATTGAATTGTTTTAGCACCTTTGTCAAAAATCAGCTGACAATAAATTTAAAGGTTTTTTTCTGTACTCTTCAATTCTATTTCAGTGAACTCTGTTTATGCCAATATAGCACTGTCTTGATTACCATTGCTCTGTTGTAAGTTGTGAAATTGGGAAATGTATGTTTTCTTACTATGTTCTGCTATTTCAAGATTGTATTGGCTATTTTGGGTTTCTTGAATTTTCATGTGAATTTTAGGATTAGTTTGCCAATTTCTGCAATAAAGGCAGCTGGGATTTTAATACGAATCACATTCAATTTGTAGATCAGCTTGGGGATTATTGCCATTTTAATATTTAAGTCTTATAATCCATTAACACTGGCTGTCTTTCCATTTATTTGTCTATTTAAGTCTTTTATTTCTTTTAATGATTTATGTAGTTTTCAGTGTACAAACCTTGCTCTTAGTTAAAAATTATTAAGAATTTTTAATGCTATTTTAAATGGAACTTTTTTTAAATTTTATTTTTGGATTGTCCTTTGCTGGTGTTTAGAATTACAATTGATTTTTGTATATTGATCTTATATCCTGCAACCTTGCTGAACTTGTTGACTAATTCTCATAGTTTTTTTAGTGGATTCCTTAGGATTTTCTATATGCAATATCATGTCATCTGCAAATGGAGATGGTTTTAAGTATGCCTTTCCAATTTGGGTGTGCTTTATTTCTTTTTCTTGCTTAATTGCCCTGATTAGATGAATCTCTAGTACTCTGTTGAATAGAAGTGGCAACAGTGGTCATCCTTGTCTTGTTTCTGATCTTAGGAAAAAGCATTCAGCCTTTTTACTTGTGGGTTTTTTGTTGTTGCCATTTATCAGGTTGAGGAAGATTATTTCTATTCCTGGTTTATTGAGTGTTTTTATCATGAAAGGATGTGGGATTTTTGTCAAATGTTTTTCTGTTTCTTAAGATGGTCATGTGTTTATTATGCTTTATTTTTGTGTATTACATTGATTGATTTTTCATATGTTGAATCATCCTTTCATTTTGGATTTATTCTGCTAGGTCATATTATATAATTCCTTTTTATATGTTACTGGATTTAGTTTTGTAGCATTTTTTGAGGATTTTCACATCTTTAATTGTAAGGGATATTGGTTTAGTTTTCCTGTGATGTCCCTGTCTGTTTTTAGTATCAGCATAATATTGGCCTCCTTGTCTAAGTTGGAAAGTGTTCTTCATCTTCTACTTTTTGCAGAGTTTGTGGAGAATTGTATTAATTTATCTTGTAATAATGCATCAATTATATTATTCATCTTTAAATATTCAGTCAGATTAACCAATTAAGCCATCTAGTCTTGGAGTCTTCTTTGTAGAAGTTTTTTGATCACTAATTCTATATCTTTACTTTACTTACTGCTAATTGTTTGCCCCCAGATAAAAAGCTGTTGTCACTGGGCAAGCTTTGAGTCAGGTCAAATAAAGATAAGCATTCTAGTGGGATTTTCCGGGAACTAGCAGACAGGTCAAATAAGGATACTATTGCTCTACAACTGTTCTGTCTTCTTCTGTGGCTACTAGGCTGTCAATGTGATTCACTATGATTATGGAGCTGTTGGTTTTCAGTACTGCTGTGGAGGAGGGGAGAGGAAGATCTGAATAGGAAAGGCTGCAGTGTCCCAGATCCCACTGTTCTTAACAAGATTCAATTGCTTTTCTTAAGTAAACACTTCCTAGATTATTATAAGCTTTTGGCTGATTTCAGAATTCTGACAAAGTTGATTATGACAATTTTCCACAGTTGTCTTACTGTTTTTTTTTTTTTTAGAGGAGAGAATTAGAAGTTCTTAGTCTGTCATTCCTAGTGACTTCATCTTTGCCTTGTATTTTAAAGCTCTTTTCTATTTCAGATTTTTTTCTTAATCTTTTTTTCCCTTTCTTCTCTTTCTCTGTTGTTGTTATTTTTTTCTTTCAATTTATGTTATTTTGGCAGTGGCTCAGGGGTAAAAAGCCATTAGTAGTACTTAGGACCAAGAAAGTTGTTTTATTTTTTATTATTTTTTATTTTTTTGAGATGGAGTCTCACTGTGTTGCCCAGGCTGGAGTGCAGTGGTGTGATCTCGGCTCATTGTAACCTCTGCCTCCCATATTCAAGCAATTCTCATGCCTCAGCCTCCCCAGTAACTGGGACTACAGGCATGTGCCACCACACCTAGCTAATATTTGTATTGTTAGTAGAGATGTGTTCACCGTGTTGGCCAGACTGGTCTCAAACTCCTGGTCTTAAGTGGTACATCTGCCTCCACCTCCCGTAGTGCTGAGTTTACAGGCATGAGCCACTGCACCTGGCCCAACAAAGTTGTTTTAAATTAAGGAACTCCTATAGTTACAAAAAAGCACTCTTAGACGACTAATTTTATTTTAAATAAGAAAGTATAAGAGCATTATTTCCCCACCCTATATATATTAAGTGTGATGCTGAGATTTGAGTTTTCCCTCTTTGTATTAGTTTGAGAAGTGTTTTTCTTACAACATGGGAGATTATAAACAAGTCAGGCATTCTAGTAGCCTTCTAGACTGAAATGATCAACTTAAGTTGGCCATTTTGTGGTCCTAGTGTGAGACCAAGACATTTTGGTGTAATTTTGTCAGCTTTCTACCTAAAAAGTAGAAATATATTTTGATGTATCTACTTTTTATTATAGTTGCCCTTTCAACATTTAGAAAATAATCTTAAATTTCTTTTCTAGTGTCCTCATTACTTCAAATTTTTTTTTCTAGATATAATGTATGCAAAGAAAGAGTGATGTGTGTTTTCTTTCTCTTTTTAGAATCTCAAAATGTAGATTTTATTTGTAGTGTTCTTGTGGTGGCTGATCAACTTCTCATAACCCGGTTGAAAGAGATTTGTGAAGTAGCATTAACTGAAAAACGTGAGTAATTTTGAATTTGAGTATTAGTATGTTTTCAGGTTCATCAAGGATTACTTTACTTTATTGACTTTATGATTCCATGTATGGTAAAATAGACCATTTTTTTGGTACCATGAAAACCTGCCAAAATATGTAAATTACTACATGCCATCATTTGTAAGTGAACTTTTATTGTAGAAATATGTGAAAATATATACGACTTAGAATTGAAATGTAATATTTTTATTGAAATGTCATAAAACCTTGAAGAATAAAGATGGTGTCAAGTTTATTTGCTAATTTCCAGGGTGAGAGTTTTGAAAGTGAAATTTTCGTACTCTTGCCCTGATCTTGCCTTTAGGTGTTTTTAGCTACCCATTTTCTACTATTTGCAATGATTTTTAAAATTTAACTTTCCCATTATATATCTGAACAAAGCACATCTCTTTTTTTCTTGAACTCTTCTTTCTTACTCTCTTCATTATTTTAGTTAATTTCATGGCTGTCCTCCTGGACACTCTGCTTTGAAATCCAAAATTAGTTTTTCTTTGTTATTTTGGTCCTGACACTCAAATTCATTCAGCTATCAAAACTTACTGCTCTTAACTGTGTTGGTCACATTTCGCCTACCTTTGGGTTCTTACTGTCACTATGCAGTTGAGGTCACTGTTATCTGTTCCTTCTGTATAGTGTCACAGTAGTGCTTTAAATGCTCTTTCTCCTGTCTACTTCTGTTTCTTTAAGGAGGTAGTTACGTCTTCCCTTGTTTACATATTTATAATTGCTTACTCTAGAGTAAAGGTGAACTTTCCTTAGCTTCCACGTGACAGCCTTTCTGGCTTTCTAATCTTCTATCTGTTCTGCTTCATTGCTACTTCAGGAAGTGTGAAGGGAATACCTGTCAATTTTTTTCTAGTTCATTCTTGCTAGGAGTTTGTCTTGGCTTTGGCATTTTAGTTCTCACTTTTCTTGAGCTCTATGGACTGTCTACTCCTTGGTTATTAAATAGAGAGCAACAGCCCTGATCTTTTAAGCAACAAAAGAAAAATATTTTAAAATAAAGGACACAGCATACAACAGGTATAAGACGTATATATAAGTGATATTTTACACTTGTACAGTTTTTCTTCCTCAATGTTCTTTCATGGCTCTGGCTGCACAGTTGCCTTTATTAATTCCTTGATGTTCCTAGAACCTAGGAAAAGGAGGCTACCACTTCTTTGGTCTCTGATTATTAGGAATATGTGGATACTTGTTCCCAAGTGAACAACTCTAAAGAAGTTTTTATATGATCTGACTTTATCATTCCTTCCATTTCTGTGTTCATCATTAGTTGAAAATGTAGGTTAGTCAGGAGTGAGACAGAGACCATTATTGACTGCAGCAGTTGCAACTTTTGATAGAATTACAGGGGGGAAAGAAAAAGAAATGCAAGAAGCCAGATGTAGAAAACAGCTGTGTTCCCCTGTTGGCTGGTACTGATAGAGTAATTAAGAAAAATAGTGGAGGGAACAGGAAGCTGAAAGTTACCTGTTACATAGGTAGAATATTCTGGGAGAGTCTCTAGGAAAATGGGTACTTTATATATAATATTACTAGGATTGTAACTAAATCCAGAATCTTTTGCACAGTATATCAGATTTTTCACTGGCATGAAAAATATTATGGTATGATTGTGATGTACATATTTTCAAAATATGTATATATTTATATACTTCATATATATATATAAATATACCCACATAAATTCTGATAGATAACTCAGTGTTAATATATTTTACAGAATTATTTCATCAGTTTTTCTTAGTTTTATATCTTTTTTAGTTTTATGGAAGAGGGAATAACTGCTATGTAAATGAAAAGGAAAATTGTTCATTAATGAAAGCTTTTTAATATTATTCAGAAAATGTTAGGTGGAAGATTGTCAGTTCTTATGTGTTTGCTTTTGGGTGGCACTATGCCCCTTCTGTATTTTGTTTTGCTTAGAATATTCTTCTGTGTGAGCTTATTTTTCCTCATAGCCAATCTTTTGAAATTATTTTGGCATATTGGGATGGAAGAGTTACATATTTGCCCCAGAATTGACTTATTTTCGGCAAGAATTTTTTTTTCTTTATTCCAAATGTTCAAATCTTAGAGCTTTAGACATAAATGTATTTTATTTTGCTGTGGTAATGTGCTTTTTATCTAATTTTGCAAATCTTGTCTTTCTTTGTAGTTACCCTGAAGAATGCTGCTATGCTACTGGAATTTGCAGCAATGTATAATGCAAAACAGTTGAAACTGTCTTGTTTGCAGTTTATAGGATTGAATATGGCAGCTTTACTTGAAGCAAGGTAAGTAAGGTACATATATTGTATGATTGTTGCAAAAGGAGATATTTATATATAATAGCAGATATTATTAGTGATTTAAATGTTAACAATGATGTTTACCTGGATGGAAAGAATTTGATAAATGCTGATGATTTAGAAGTTATGTACATTTTAGAATTAGAGCTCTCTTAAAAACTTTTGAAAGTTTTTAACAGTGATCTTTTTAAAATGAAATAAATTTATACTTTTTAAAAAATATAAGGTCAGAGTATTTTACTTGCTATAAAATCATTGACGAGAACAGGAGAATACAGAAATTTGAGATTAGAGTTCCTGGTGTCAGTTTTTATTTTAAAGCTTCATTGTGTAGTTTGTTTTTATATTTTACTTTAATAGTAATGACTATTAACTGTATGCTAGACAGTGTTCTAAAAGCATTACATAGATTCATTTAGTTGACTTTTATGAAAACCTTCTCAAGTAGAGAAGATTCTTTGTACATTAATTTATAATAGTTGCTTGAGGCCGCGTGTGGTGGCTTATGCTTGTAATCCCAGCACTTTGGGAGGCTGAGGCAGGTGGATCACCTGAGGTCAGGAGTTCAACACAGGCCTGGCCAAGATGGTGAAAACCCTATCTCTAATAAAAATACAAACATTAGCCAGGCATGGTGGTGTGTGCCTGGTAGTCTCAGCCACTTGGGAGGCTGAGGCAGGAGAATCACTGGAACTCAGGAGGCAGCAGTTGCAGTGAACTGACATTGCACCACTGCACTCCAGCCTGGATGACAGAGTGAGACTCTGTCCCCCCGCCCCCCCCCCCCAAAAAAAAAAAGTTGCTTGAGTTTTATTCAAGATATTTTTGTAATATGTTTGCTTTGCTGTTTATTTGAAATACGTAGTATATAACCACATCTATTTCCAAGTTTGTAGCAACTGCTATATATAATGCTTAAAAAACAACTTTGTTACTTATCTGGCAATATGAAATATCTACATGTGTGAACATCTTGACGGTTATCAAGTAACTTGAATCTTAAGATAGAATTTTGCATCCTGTATTTTAGGTCTCTTGATGTTTTAAGTGATGGTGTTTTGAAGGATCTTTCTGAGTTTTACCGGAAAATGGTAAGGTTTATGTTTTAATTTTTTTGTGGCTATAATATTACCAGCTTTAGCAGTATATTAGATTAGACTTATCAATGGAATAGTTTCCTAATGACTTCAAGTACATTAAGATCATTTAAAACTGAGGATATAGGATTCCTTTACAGATCTCACAGATAAGTATGATAATCAAAATTCAAGATATTTAATAATAAAGTTAATATTTATTAATTTATTTATAAATGAAAGTTATTGAAAGCTTCAGAGTGAGTCTTTTGTTATTTACCAAAGGTCAGGACAGTGCAAAAAGATGAATTCATATGATCCTTAAGAAATGGATTACTCTATGTTTAATAATAAAGTGGAGCTTTTTCTAAAGTTTCTTTTTTTGGCAGGTTTATGGAATAAAGTTTTTATTGAATTGAATCAAAATTCAACCCACTCTTGTAAATTTCGGAAGTTATTGAGCATTTAAGGCTGTTCTAGTCAATGTCACCAAATATGAAAAATGGAATATATTACATAATTTAAAAAACATCCTTAGGCTGGGTGTGGTGGCTTATGCCTGTAATCCCAGCATTTTGGAAGGCCAAGACGGGAGGTTCGCTTGGGACCAGTTGTTCCAAACCAGTCTGGCCAACATGACAAGAGCCCTGTCTGCACAAAAAACAAAAACAAAAACAACTTCACAGATTTTGTATTTGAAAAGTGATATCTTCAATTCTGCAGATTCCAGCAATGGATAGAAGAGTCATTACACCATATCAAGATGGACCAGATATTAGCTATTTGGAAGTAGAAGATGGAGATATCTTCTTGAAAGAAGAAATAAATATGGAACAAAATCATTCGTAAGCTCTGTTTCCTTGTTTTTTCTTTTTCTTTTCCTCCTCCTTTCTTTTCTCTACTGTGTCCCTTCACTCTCATCCTGGGCATGTGATGCTTTTGTGTTGGTATTGAAAGACGAAATTGAGAAATTCTGACATAAGAAATACATATTTATGTTCATTCTTAACTTTGGTATAATACAAAATAAATACATAATTAATATTTGTAGGTCTAACATTTAAAATATAAATATTTTAATAAGTAGCCTTCAAGTTAAACATGTTGGGTTAAATAAGTGCATTTATCTTAGTTACATCCCTAAACTCTGCTGAAAGTATGTTTGCTTTTTCCTAGGGAAACTATGTTCAAGAAGGCAAAAACTAAAGCTAAAAAGAAGCCACGTAAACGTTCAGATAGTTCTGGAGGTTATAACCTTTCTGATATTATTCAGAGTCCATCATCTACAGGTTCGTGGAAAGTGAGCATGTATTTCCAGTTCTAATCTTCTGTGTCTCTATTCATATATGTCATCTGCTGGGGCTACTGAAATAAACAGTCCTTATGGAGGTACCAAAAGTGATAGTTTATCTTAAGTACTCCAGTTGAAGTTTGCTCTGGGAGCACAAAAAGAGGTACCCAAACCAATCTGAGATCAGGGAAGTCCTCTTAGAAGAAAGCAGTGCTGAGCTGGGTCTTGAAGAATGAAGTTATCTAAGAAAAGGAGGCAGATAGATATAAATTAAGCAAAGGGGGCAATGTGTTCCCAAGCTTAGTAGCGAGAGAAAGAGTTGCACATTTCTTGTGCATATAGTTCAGTATAGGAGATAGGTTGGATAGGATCAGATTTTGGAGACTCTTATATGCCAAACTAAGGAATTTGTGTTTTAGTCTAAAGGCTATGGGTGGCCGTTGATGATTTAAAACAAGATGTGACTGGATGAGATTTGTTTTTAGAAAGACCACTCTTTCCAGTGGCATAGGGGTTTAGAGGTTGGCAAAACATGACAGAGATAACTATTATCATGTTGATTCAATTTAAATATGTCAGTACTCCAAGTAAGATGCCATTTGTATGCATAAGGAGGTTATAATCTGGTAGTAGAATATAAAATATATTTAGGCATTATGTGAGCCTGTTTGAAAGTGAAGGTCAGGTTATGTAGTTTTTCTAAAATATTTTTCCCCAGTTTTTTATTTTGAGAATATTTAACTTACTGAAAAGATGGAAGAAAAATACCACGAACACCTATGTACATTTTATTCAGATTTATTGTTAACTTCCCATCACATTTGCATTTTCTTGCAGACTCTTTGTCGCTTACTGTCTGCTCTTTCCTCCATATGTTACACACACACACACACACACACACACACACACACACAATACAGAGACTTAAAAAAAATTATTCCACTTGGAATAAGTTGTAGGCATGATCCTTTTCCCGTAAATACTTGAATATGAATCTTTTAAGATGGGAATACTCTTATACACAACCACGATACCATTATCATACCTAAGACAATTGACATTAATTAGTGTTAACTAGTATTACACTCCATATCCACATTTTCCTAATTGTTGACAAATGTTTTTATAGTCTTTTTTTTTTAACATTAACAACAAAAAAAATAGTATTCTATCAAAGTTCATATTGTCTTTGCTTATTAGTATCTCTTTAGTCTCTTTAGTATAGTACCCCTGTACTTTTTTGTTTTTTGTTTTCTGTTTTCCAAAAGGTCAGTCCAGTTGTGTTATAGATTGTCTCACATTCCAGATTCATCTGATCTAGATTAAACTATATACATTTTAGTAGTTTCTTTAGATAAAACATGAAGTGTGACTATAAAATTATGAGACTACAGTATGGCTTTCAGAAATGGTAGGTTACTCTTGTCTATAGCACTAAGACATAACCTAGTATAGTTTCTACTAACAGTACTTCATAGTCAATCAGCTATATACAAACAACTTTGAAAAACAGAAGAGTACATTGTTTTGTGTTCCTTTGGAAACAAAAGCTGTTAGGCAGGGCAAAGAAGAAGGATTTTTTTTTATGCTTACTGAGATGCTTCAAATTAAGTGCTTGATATGTTCACTAAAGCTCAAAGGAATATCAAGAATAGTTTTAGGTAACATAAATATATAAAGAGGATAGTTAATATGCCTAAAATTTATTTATGAAGCACTGAAGATAGGAATCAGGAGACCTAGTAAATGGGAAAGCTATATCTTAGGACTTTTCTAAATTAAAAATTCTGTGATTTTGTGTTCTCTGTGTTTTATGAATTACCGTTAGTGTTTAGAAGGAGGCAGGGGTGGATTGAGGGAAGGATGAATAATGGATAGACAGTCTTGAAAGTAATGATTTGCCAGTCACCTAAATGACTTAGGGAAAAACAGATATTTGCTTTGTTTTAAATAATGTTATTGTTATCATTTGTGTTAGAATCTTAGAATTTCAGAGCTAGAAGTGACATTAGTAATGAAGTAATTTATGTCCCTTACTTTAAACCTAAGGAAACAAGCTCAAAAAACGTAAGTGATTTGAAGTAGTGACCAAAAGAAATAAAATTTGTTCTGTTGGTTCCAGGTCCATATTTTCCTGGTGTACTGTTCTTTCTGTGGCCAAGATACCTGTAGTCAAAGATAACTAAAAGGTCAAATTTAATTGGAGGCCAAAAAAAACCTGTTAAGGAAGAAAATTTGAGTATGATGCCAATTTCATGAAAGACACTTGCGTAATAGCTTAATGTTTGTGTCGGTCTTAAAGTCACACAAACGACATTTGGCGAAACTGTTTTTGACCAGAAGTAATTGTTGGCCACATTAATCGTCCTCTTTTTTCTGGATTCATTTCTAACTGACTTTTGAAAGTGTTCTAATATTAGATGTATTCTCTTAGTTGAAAATTTGCCAGCCTCAAAAATATTCAAAAAGAGGCAAGACGTGGTGGCTCCCGCCTATAATCCCAGCACTTTGGGAGGCCAAGGCAGGCGGACCACAAAGTCAGGAGTTCCAGACCAGCCTGGCCAATATGGTGAAACCCCATCTCTAGTAAAAATACAAAAAAAATTAGCTGGGTGTGATGGTGTGTGCCTGTAATCCTAGCTACTTGGGAGGCTGAGGCAGGAGAATCACTGAAACCTGGAGGCAGAGATTGCAGTGAGCCGAGATCACGCCACTGCACTCCAGCCTGGGCAATAGAGTGAGCCCCCGTAAAAAAAAAAAAAAAAAAAAATCAAAAGATTACGTGGAAAAAAATGTTTAAATGTTCTTTCCAAATTGCAGTGATAACAATGAAAGGGACATTTAGCTTGTTAAGGTGATTTACTTTAAAGAGAACAATGTATAAGAGACAGTAGGTTTTAAATCAATTATACAACTTTTAGTTACCACTGAGATAACATCTTTATTTTATAGCTTATTTTGATGCTTCATTTAGATTCTAATAAATTTGAAATGTGCAGAAATGAACATGTGAATCTAAGCAAAAGTTTGAACCTGGATACCAGGTGTGGCATGAGGCCAGGCATTTAGCTTGCCTAAGAAAGAAATGATACATACATTTCATAACAACCCTCTTGCTTCAAGCAAGCTGAATCGCCAGAGATTTCAGGGAAGAACACACTTCAAACAGGCCACAGTCGTCTTCTGTGGGAGCCTCTCCATTTGAGTCAGTCAGCTGGCTAAGTGAGAGGCAAAAGGGCCACAGGTTTCCTCCCAGATAGAATGAAGCTGCCCTCCTCGCTTGGGTGCAGAGACCACTGTACCAAGAGACAGATGAGAAAAGGAAAAGAGGTCTGGACTTTAATTATTTTCTCCTTTGTCTCTTAGGCGGACAAAAATATTTTCAATCACATTTTAAAGCAGATCCAAAGAACTATCTTCCTCAGGTTCATTACACAGTTGGTGTGTGATTGTAATGAGTAAAACTATTGTTTTATAATCTCTTCCATTTCAGTTTTTCACTTAAACTGATTTCTTTCTCTAGTTAACTTAAATTATTAAGATTTTTATACCATAAATATAATTTGAATGTTATTAAGTCTGGATAAATGAAAGTTTTTAGCTGTCTGATTCACTGAATGTAATGCATATATGTTTAATGCATATGTGTTTAAATTTTTTTTAATTTCATGTTTTAGGATTATTAAAGTCTGGTAAGACCAATTCTGTGGAATCTCTTCCAGAACTATTGACATCAGACTCTGAAGGAAGCTATGCAGGAGTGGGTAGTCCTAGAGATTTACAGTCCCCTGATTTCACCACAGGATTTCATTCAGATAAGATTGAGGTTTGTTTTTTGAAGCACTGACTCCTTACCTTCAGATTTTAGGTTTATAGATAGTTTATCTTTAATATTTCCTTATTTTTGCCCTAATTTTAAAACAGTCTCCAGGTTGGTATATAAGAATCACACAATATAGTGTTAGTTTTCTTAAATTTGCATAACATTTCTAGTTTTAGAGATTTTAATGGCAGTTTTAAGCCCTTTATGATGTTATTTCTAATCTTTATGCAACTAAAATATAATGTTGATGTAAAATATAATACTGTACAGACATACTGAAAAAATATATTCATAGCTAAATTATCGAAATTTATCTTGTGAAATGTCAGTTAACATCAGTTAAAAATTGTCAAGGCAAATGATTTCGAAAATAAGCCTGCTTTCAAATTTTGCAGTCTCTTTCCTCTAAGGTATTAACTGGAGCAAAACAATTTAGAAATGATTGAGTTCTTCTCCTAATCTAGCACATTTAAGCTGCAGGATTCCTAGCGTGATCAACTCTGGGGAGGACAGTTCTTAGACACTCCTTAAAATTTGATTCCATAGTTGTTAACCTATTAGAGAAAAATGTGTAACTGAATAGAGTCACTTTTCCGTAACCCCTATGCATCCACAAAACATATCAGAATTCCTAGGAATTCATGAGACAACAGAAGTTAACCCTTTCTTCTTAGAGTCTTTTAGGCCTCAAGGATTGATTTAATTTTTTTTTTTTTTTTTTTTTTTTTTTGGAGGACAGGGTCTCTCACTCTGGTTGCCCAGGCTGTAGTGCAGTGGTATAGTATCAGCTCACTGCAGCTTTGATTTCCTGGGCTTAGGTGATTCTTCCACCTAAGCCTCCAGAGTAGCTAGGATTATAGGTGCGCACCATCACATCCAGCTAATTTTTTTATATTTTTGGTAGAGATGGAGTTTTGCCATGTTGCTCGTCTTGAACTCCTGGACTCAAGCAATCCACCCACCTCAGCCTCCTAGAGTGCTGGCATTACAGGTGTGAGCAACCGCACCCCAGCAGGATTGATTTTTTTTTTTAAATATAGAATAGAAGCTTGGGGGCAATTTATATTCACACTAAGGTTGTTCTGTAAGACAACTGAGGTTTAAAGGAAGGCTCAGGGCATATTGTGAGTGATTTGCAATAACAGAAGAATCTATCCTGGAAGTAGACATACCATTTTAATAACTTCCTTGACGTATTGCAATAGCAGTAGTTTTAGGGTTCCTTTCAAGGTGTCAGTATTTTTTGACTTTAATTTTATTCACAGTACTTTACATCAGAGTGAGTTATATGACATTTATACAAAACTTTCATTTTGTTTCGTACTCAAGCCATGGATATTAATTTTAAAATTAGTGCTTCATGTCTTATTTGTACAACTATTACATGTTTACTATTTGTGTAGAGATTTAATATGCTAACTAGTTCCCCTAGAAATTATTCTCAAAGCTCGTAATAATTCGGTTATAGTCAATAATGTGATTTGAGAGTAGGCTAAGGCACAAAACTGTAGAAGAACATGATTTGAAAATACTAGATGGCTTATTGTCATAAGATTTTACTCTTCATTATAATGTAACTAATATTTATTAAGTACCAGCCATGTGTTACTGTTCTAGGTGCTCGTTAACTTCTTTTATTTTTTTTTTCTCTCCCCAGGCGAAAGTCAAACCGTATGTTAATGGTGCATCTCCTATGTATGCTAGGGAAGATTTAAAACCATGGGAAAAGTCACCAATACTTAAAATATCTGCTCCACAGCCCATTCCCAATAACAGAATTGATACTACCAACTCTGCCAGTTGGGTTGCTGGTTCCTTCAGGTAAGATTTTTATTTTATTCTGTAACTATTAGTTTGAGAAATATCATTCATTTTTAATGCAATTTAATTTTTTAATGATGAACATTTAAGAAATATTAATATAAATTTCTAATGTACAGAAAATTGCCTAAATGCCTATGAATTGCTAACCAACTATATAATAGGCTTCCCCCCGCCACCAACCCCAGGCAAAATTTAGTTGCCTTTGTATTATCATCAGTGAATAGTAGCAAATACTATGTTTTACATATATAGAGAGAAACTTAGTATCAGCAGTTATTTCTTAGATAATATATATATTGGTTAAAAATGCCACACAGGAAGACCGTTTTGTCACTCATAGACTTTATCTCTTAGAGTATGTGAAGGGGTATTTAAAATCTCACAAAATGTATAACTATTCAGTTAATTTTCAGATGATATTAATTTAATGTTATACTATCCTTTTAACTTGCCTATATTATATATATATTTTTCTTTTATTTAGAAAAATGAAATGAAGGCTGGGCACGGTGGCTCATGCCTGTAATCCTAGCACTTTGGGAAGCCAAGGTGGGCAGATTACCTGAGCTCAGGAATTTGACACCAGCCTGGGCAACATGGTGAAACCCCATCTCTACTAAAATACAAAAAACTAGCCAGGCGTGGTAATACATACTTGTAATCTGAGCTACTTGGGAGGCTAAGGTGGGAGAATTGTTTGAACCTGGGAGGCGGAGTTTACAGTGAATCCAGATCATGCCACTGCACTCCAACCTGAGCAACAGAGCAGACTCCATCTCAAAAAAAGAAAAAAAGAAAAGTCAAATGAAGGTGCAGGTGTAATTAGAATGTAGTATTCTTTCAAAATGTTAATTGAGCTTGTGCTTCATGTTTATATGCCTACAATGATTGATAAAGTCTAAAACTGTTAGTTGACTTATGGATTATCTTATCATCTGGACTATTTAATTCTTTTGAAATAGGCTGTATGTTGCAGAGTTGGAACAAAGATTATGATGTTCCATTTTATGTGCTTCATGGTTTAAAGTTTAGTTCAGAAATTAGTTTCATTTTTTTTTTTTTTTTTTGCTTAAGTACACAAATTGGTACATATTTAATATGTGGGAACATCTGGCAGCATCTTCTGATTGCTAATGTTAGGATATTTTGTTAAACATGTTTTAAAAATAGCTTGGTCCACAAGATAGATTAGGCTGTTTCAGTACTATGCTTATTGACAAAATGCTTAGCAATAGGCAATAAACATTCTCAATATTAACATATACACAAACATTTCTACATTCATTCTGAAGTATTGCCTAGTATAAATAATAAGTAGAATTTGTTTTTGATGAAAGAAAAAAAATACAGGAAACAGGTTCCCCTTTAATATGAAATAATACGACTTTTTTTTTTGAGGCAGAGTCTTGCTCTGTTGCCCAGGCTAGAGTGCAATGGCATGATCTCAGCTCACTGCAACCTCCACCTCCTGGGTTCAAATGATTCTCCTACCTCAGCCTCCCAAGTAGCTGGGACTACAGGCGCGTGCCACTGTGCCTGGCCAATTTTTGTATTTTTAGTAGAGATGGGGGTTCACCATGTTGGCCAGACTGGTGTTGAACTCCTGATCTCGTGATCTGCCCACCTCGGCCTCCCAAAGTGCTGGGATTTCAGGCGTGAGCCACTGCGCCTGGCTGACTTATTTTTATCTGTAGTGTAGATTTCATTTAGGTCAAAAATCATCTATTTCTTTTTTTTTTTCTTTTGAGGCAAAGTTTCACCCTCATTGCCCAGGCTGTAGTGCAGTGGTATGATCTCAGCTCACTGCAACCTCTGCCTCCCAAGTTTAAGCAATTCCCCTGCCTCAGCCTCCCAAGTAGCTGGGATTACATGCACCTGCCACCACCCCTGACTAATGTTTATATTTTTAGTAGTGATGGGGTTCCACCATGTTGGCCAGGCCGGTCTCGAACTCCTGACCTCAGGTGATCCACCCGCCTCGGCCTCCCAAAATACTGGGATTACAGGCGTGAGCCACCACACCTGGCCAGAAACCATCTATTTATAATGATCGTAGAATTTTTTCCTTATTATGGTATAACTCCCTCTGGTGGGTCTCCAATATTGTTTAGTATCCCCAAGTTTTTCTATTAAATGTTTGTTTTTGTTAATATTAAACAGTAGAATGAGTTTTGTTTGTTAAAAATAGAAAGGAAAGAGTATAATTTTCAAGCTTCATTCAACCTAAAAGTAAGAATTTAATTAGAACTTTGGTGAGGTTTTCTGCCTAATTTAGTTAAGAATCTTTCTATTGCTTGGCTTTTTTAAAAAATGGTTTTTTTTAAATATAGGAATTTCAGTTATATCACAACATTATGACTTTGGATACATATTAGTTGTTATTTGTATATGTGCTGTATCACTTAACATTATGACTTTGGATATATGTTAGTTAATATTTATATGTGTATATATAAAAGTAACTTTTACTCAAAATATCCTTTTTGAAGCTGGCTCACAGCTGATAATTCTAAATTATACTCTGACTATTAATCTCACATTTCACTTATGGTTTCAGTGAAGTTGGGGGTTGGGCTTTATAGGTAAATGAATGCCTTGCAAAGTAACCTTTTATGTCTTTTAGTCCGGTCAGCCCTCCTGTTGTGGATCTCAGAACCATCATGGAAATAGAAGAAAGTAGACAAAAATGTGGAGCTACACCAAAGTCACATTTAGGGTTGGTTAAAAAATTATAAAAGATCATTTCATGTTATATTTCTGCCCTAAGAATTGGACAGACTTATTGCATCTTTCCTATTATTTTTCTGCATTTGATGTTATAGTGAATTATACATCCTTTTCTGGGCAATTTAGCCTCCATAATATTATTTCTTAAGTATGTGCTGAAGATAGAGTTGAGCTGATAGTCCAGCTCTTGTAGAATACAGTATTACATCCCAGAAACTTGACTCTAAAATGATCATTGTGGACTATTGGCTACAAAAGCCGAAGAGTTAAGGCTTGTCATGCAAGTTCTTGAAGTTTGTAATATGTTGGAGGGCTCATATGTAGCTATTACTTGATCATTGTTAGTATAAACTGATATTTTCATTGTTGAAACTTGTGAGCATTTTGATCCAATAATGGCAAAATAACATCAAATAAATAGAAAACATTATTACCAGTAACCTTTATTAAGCAGAAATTAATGTTAATTGATTTAATTTCTAGCAAAATCATTTCTCATGGAATTAAACTTTGTCAGAAGAAACCACTGAAACTAATTGTTTTAATTTAATTTCTAGCAAAACAGTTTCTCATGGAGTTAAACTTTCTCAGAAGCAACGAAAAATGATTGCATTGACTACCAAGGAAAACAATTCAGGAATGAATAGCATGGAAACAGTTTTATCTACTCCTTCAAAAGCCCCCAAACCAGTGAATGCATGGTATGCTCCTATTTTTATTAAAATTAATATAGATCTGTGCATTTGCTTTTAAGGTAGTACTTGACTTTTGAGTTCCTTCCTACTTCTAGTGTTTCTAAAGTCTTTTCAAATATTTCATCTCCCCTTCTGTTTTCAAGTTAAAAATTGAAACTTGGGAAGCAAACGCTTTTTTTGTTGTGTTTATTTTCTTTTAATTTGGGGTGTTTTGACGTACACGTCATGATGACGTACATCATCATACACTTCAAAATGTGGATATATTTTTCATATATAGATACAATTTCTTCTTGATATTCTAATTAGATTTTCTTGCTAAAGTGATTTAAAATTTAATTTTTTAAATTTTTTTTTTTTTTTTGAGGCGGAGTGTAGCTCTGTCGCCCAGGCTGGAGTGCAGTGGCCGGATCTCAGCTCACTGCAAGCTCCGCCTCCCGGGTTCACGCCATTCTCCGGCCTCAGCCTCCCGAGTAGCTGGGACTACAGGCGCCCGCCACCTCGCCCGGCTAGTTTTTTGTATTTTTTTAAGTAGAGATGGGGTTTCACCGTGTTAACCAGGATGGTCTCGATCTCTTGACCTCGTGATCCGCCCGTCTCGGCCTCCCAAAGTGCTGGGATTACAGGCTTGAGCCACCGTGCCCGGCCAATTTTTTAAATTTTTTATAAGAAATTAAATATATCAGACACATATAAAAAGAAAACTTTATTTATACTACGCTAATTTTTTTGTCCTTCTGCATGCTGCATAAATATCTTTACATGATTATAATCATAGCTTGTTATTTTTCACTTTTTAAAACAGTGCTCCTTACTTAATGTTGTGTTTACATTTTCTCCATTGGAATTTACACATAGTGGCAGCATTGGAATAGTCTCCAAAGAGGTCAGATATAATTTTGAGATGTGTAAAATAGGTTGTACTCCAGCTTCCCTTCCATCCTTCCTTTTCTTTGTAACTTAAAATATCTGGAAACAAGTACTGGAGAAGTACACGGAGAATGTGAAGCCTTATGAAGAAATAAGTAGAACTCTCTTTCTCTCGCAAGAATTGGGGAGGATCTTGGCAACTACCCATGGTTTAGGGGAATCCCTTCAATGTTTCTAAGGCCACATTATTCTATTTGTAAGAAGGAATATTTTTCTCAATTAAAATGTTAATTATTTTGAAGAAAGTAGCAAATCATTTTATTCTAAGTGTTACCAGTGGAACTAAATCAGTGCCTGTTACGGTTACTAGTAGGTCCAAAGCATGGTTACTGAAAAAGTAAAATAAGAGGTAAGAATACCCAAGGAAAAGAGAAAAGAGTGCAAAACTGGAGAGGATGAGCTTAGCAGAATTTTAAAATTTATCAGTATTTTTTAAACCCCTTCTAAATGTAAGGAACCGTGCTAGTTTCTGATGATAAGGCAATGAACAAGACAGATTTGACCATTACCATTGTAGGGTTTATGATATAACTGCTACCACACTGAGATGTACTTTCTTTAAACAAAAGTATGGAAAATCCAAAAAGGGGGAAAAGTTATTGGAACCACTGTCATGTACTAAATTGCAGTTTGAGAGAATTAACTAAGCTCATGATGAAGCCTTGGACTTGGTAATACAGCTATAACCATGCCATCAATCACTTTCCTTAAGCAAAAAGTGAATGAGTGAAAATTGTTTCACTTATTTTTTTGGAGGCATATTCTTTAGAGTCCTGTGTTCTTTTGAGATCTGAACTGGGTCTTTTCCAGGCTTGCTGAATATCTGTCATCTTGAGATTTTCTTTAACTGTTGTCTTGCAGATCTTCCCTTCTCTCCAGTGTTTGATCCCCAGTTTTCTTGATCTTGTGGCTTTGTATTTCTTGATACACTCCTTGTTTTGATGAATCACAACCCAGTAGGTTTCTGATAAAGAATGGATAGGACATATATTTTTGGAGCTCGTATATTCATGAAAATGTTTTTATTCTAGCCTTCATTCTTCTTGACTGATAGATGGGAATGAGATTCTAAATTGGAAATCATTCGGAGAACTTATTCAATGCCATTTAATTCCTAAATCTTCTTATGTTACCTCCTGTTTTCTTCTCCACTTTTTTTTTTCTCTGAAAGTTTATAGGGTCTTTTCTTTATCTCTAATGTTCTGATATTTTACAGTAATATAATGTAGGTCTTTTTTGATTCATGCTGGATACTTGGGCTTTTTTAATTGGCAACAGCATGTCTTTAAGTTCTAGGGAAATCTTATGTAATGTTATATTACTTTGATACTTTTTCTCCTCACTGTTTTCTCTACAAATCACATTAGTCAGATATTGGTCCTCCTAGGCCTCTCTAAATTTCTTACTTTTTCTTTTGTTTTTTTTTTTGAGATGGAGTCTCACTCTGTTGTTAGGTTTGAGTGCAGTGGTGGGATCTCAGTTCACTGCAACCTCTGCCTCCCAGGTTCAAGTGATTCTTCTGCCTCAGCCTCTTGAATAGCTGGGATTACAGGTGCCTACCATCATACCTGACTGATTTTTATATTTTCAGTAGAAACATGGTTTCACCATGTTGGCCAGGCTGGTCTCGACCTCAAGTGATCTGCCTGCCTCAGCCTTCCAAAGTGCTGGAATTACAGGTGTGAGCCACCACACTTTTTCTTTTCTATTGTCCACATGTATGCCTTCCAATTCTACTTTCTGGAATATTTGCCTGACTTTTTTCAACCATTAAAATCTTTATCAAGAGGTTTTTTTGGTTTGTTTGTTGATGATACCTTTTTCTATAGTATTCTGTTTAATATTCTAATGTTGAAGATCTCTGTACTCTGTAGACATTTTCAGTCTTCAGTATATACCCAACAGAAACATACACACATATGTACCACGAAACATGTATAAGAATGTTCATAATTTATTATTTGTAATAACCCAAAATGAAAACAACCTAGATGTCTATCAGCAGTCAATGGATAAATTATTTTTATAGTAGAATACTACAGAGTAATGACAAAGAATAAATCGTGACTAAATACAATAGTGTGGATGAATCTTACCAATATGATATTGAACAAAAGAAACCACTCAACCGAAAAAAAAAAGAAAGCTAAGATTGATTTACACTCTTGTTTTATTCATTCTACCTTATATATATTTTATTTTATTTCATTTTGTCAATTTATTGATTGATTGTTTTCTCTTAAGTTCTGATTGGAAGCTCTGTGTGCCTGTGTGATACAAGTAGACTGATAGGTGTGATTATAGGGTAACGTATCAGTTTTCTTAGGGACCCCCCGAATCTCCCCATATGTTGATTATCTTCATATCTTTTCTCCTTGGTCTCTTTAGTCTGTCAGTTTTTCTAAAGAGCAGCCTTTTAATTTATTTTGCTGGTAAGGTGTACATTTGGTTGCTAGCATTCTGGAAACATATCTCAGTGTAGGGAGGTTAGAGCTGGGACTGAGCTTGTCACCATTTGTAATAGGTTTTCACATTTAGTATATAGACTTTGTACACAACAGTTCACTCCCGCCGTCTTCTATTACTAGTGACTTTGAATCAAATTTTCCTTCTGCCAGAGTAGAGGAGATGTGGTCATGTGACCATACAGCAATAGGGAGTACATCTGGCACTCTGAGCCCCTCCTAAATAAACTGAAACAATTTTCACACTTTCATCCTCATGTCGACTTCAGGATTCGATACATACTCTGTCTCCAGTATATGCCCCTTTCCAGAGTTCTCAGCTTCCCTCCTTACCATCACCCACCTGATGACTGTTAGTTTTTCTTTTTGTCCACTCAGTGACATCAGTTTTATCATTCTATCTCTTTTGCTATCCTTCGAAAATGTGTTGCTTCTTAGACTGCCATTGTCCTAATAGTTTATTATTTTTGCCCTTGTGGGTTTATACCTTTCTGATTACTTTGCTGTACACTTTAGGATTTCAGAGGAAGGTATTCAAGTGGTCATTTATCTGAAACTTCTGACTAATTTTCAAACATAGGAAAAATTTTTCCTTGGTAATTATTAGCAACATGAGCTTAGAGTGCCACATTGAAGGGACTATCTATCCAAATTTTAAAAGGAGTCTATTATGGCATATTAAGGAGAATTCTAGGAAGATGGGAGGAAAGATGCCATAAATTTTGACCCAAAACATAGGGTATTTTTCTTTGAAAAGAATTTGATAATTATCTGGGTGGGCATGATGGCTCACGACTATAATCCGAGCACTTTGGGAGGCCGAGGCAGGCAGATCACCCGAGGTCAGGAGTTTGAGAACAGCCTGGCCAACATGGAAAAACCCCATCTCTACTAAAAATACAAAAATTAGCTGGGCGTGGTGGTGTATGCCTGTAATCCCAGCTACTTGGGAGGCTGAGATAGGAGAATCACTTGAACCCAGGAGGTGGAGGTTGCAGTGAGTTGAGATCATGCCACCACACTCCAGCCTGGGCAACAGAGCAAGACTCCTTCTCAAAAAAAAAAAAAAAAAAAAAAACAAAACAAAACAGAATTTGATAATTATCAAATAAAAGTGATATTTGTTATACATTTATTTTATGAAAACATGATTGGAAAACTTAAGTACAAACATGAGTAATGAGTTTTATGTATCTTAGGACACCAAGAAAATTTAACTGACCAATTATAGATAATTTAGATAATTATAGATGTTATAGGTATTCTGAATTATTATCATCAAGGTGAGAGGTGTCTGAATTGTCTACAATTAGTAGTTTATGCTCTTTTTATGGCTTCTTAAGACTATACAGGCATACTTTGGAGATACTGCAGGTTTGGTTCCAGACTACCTCAGTAAAGCAAACATCGCAATAAAGCAAGTCACAAGAAATTTTTGGTTTCCTGGTGCCTATAAAAGTAATGTTTATACTATACTGTAGTTTGCTAAGTATGCAATAGCAAAATATCTACCAAAAAAACCTTAATGTAAAAATATTTTATTGCTAAAAAATGCTAATGGTCATCTGAACCTTCAGTGAATCATGTTTTTATAGTGGAGGATCTTGCCTT